CCGTGCAAGACTTCTTTCCAAAGGCTTCCAAAGATCTTTCCGTTTGCCCATCTTGGCCGTATGTTCAACACCCGTGAACATATTATGAGTAGAGACCAAGGAAGTCCCAGCCGTATCCGCCCTATGACAGTGCCTGCACTGCAGGTGCTGGTACTATCAGCACGTCGTCAGCCACCACGTGAGCACCAACCAGGATGGAGATGCCGAGAGGGATGTGGATGTGGATCCCTGGCCTTTGAGAAAGTGTTTATAAGTTTATGGCATATGGGAGCTCGGGGGCCCGGCTCACCTAAAGAGTCCACAGAATCTGTGTGTTCTGCCGAAGTTCTGCCCCAAGGAATACATCTGGATCGCTGACCTGCTGCCCGGATGGATGAAGGCGCGCCCCATACCCTTTGACACCACTGTCTGCTAGTGGCAGGCGCATGTTTCTTTGCGCTTGTCCTGAAAGTGTGCATCTCCAGTGGTCGCGAAGCCAGCGCGATTTCCAGGCGCTGTCCTTGCCTGGCATTTTCATTGGCACTGTCATCGAGCTCGGAGTGAAGCGTGCCGTGGCCGACACGGGGTTTCGGTTCTACTAGTGGAAGCTTCACTCCCGACCATCGAAAGCTTGTCGTGGTAGGGTTTGAACAGCAGCCCAAGGCATGATCGTCGATCTCCTTATCCGCGGCCAGGTCGCTTGGCCTGTGGGTACTTTGGGCCCTACATAGAGGTGCCGAAGGTATCGGAGACGGGACGGCCAGCAAGAAGCTATCGTGAGACTCGTGAAGTGGCGGCGAGGTATCGAAAAGGCTGCTTTGGAGCTTCTCAGCCATGGGTCCAGCACAGGAGGTTGGCATGCGATCATCCTAGGTCGGTGGGCACAAGGTGGACTACCGTTGCTTGGCGGGCAAGTCAACAGGTCCTCGTAAAGGTCACCAGGGGAGGAGGCATTGCCTGCCTTTGGGGGCAAGGGCAACAGCGAAGTTCTCGTTGACACCACGTGCAGCAAGTGTCACGTTGGTGGGACAAAGGGAGGCTTAAAGTAACACTGCCCCGATGAAGGTGAGCCCACCATATGGGTACTTGTTAGGGGCGCAACCGACTACGGCTTCAGACCATGTTGCTCTAGAGTTGAAGCACAAGCAAACGTAGTCGTAACATTATAGGAAATATGTTCAGCTGCATTCATTGCGCCGCTTGCGGAAAGGCTGTTTGTGTTTTTTTTTGCAGTGTGCCTTGATAGGATAATGTGCCTGTCGAGGGCTTCTGGGGCACGCGGCCTGACCGTGGCATGTTATGCTTCTGTGAATCGGTTGTCCGAACAAGCCTGACAGCAAGGCTTGGGTGGAATTCTGGTTGAGATTCCACTGTGGTGCTTTCTGCACTACACCTTCGGCCACTGAGCTACAGACAGGCAACGACATGTAAAATCAAATCTAAGCCCCTGTGCGCCGAGAGAAGTCGGGGCGCCGTCTAAGGCCCTTCCACATTCTGCTACTTGTGCTGCGGCTGCAGTTGTAGGAGGGGGGATGTGATTCCAGCGTTTGCTAAGCATTGTCAAGAGATCAGAACGTCTCAAATCCACACGCCCCAACAGTGACGTGACAGGATTCAGACTTTTATGAGAAGACGGGTGCTGTGCTGTGTGATAATGGCCTGGTCGTATGCCGTTGAAGGCAAGTTTTTTTGGCAATCCCTTGAGAAGTCTGGAATCGTCCCTTGACAAGCTGCGGCGCTCAGGTGCATGTACCTCACCGCGGGAGCCATCTTCGTTCCCTGCTCCCAGGTCGCCCATGTCATCCTTTACCCGAACTCCAACGCGTGCTCTGGAGAATATTGCTTGAGTGTGCGGCAGGAAAAAAATAGGCTTACCAATCTTGCGCTCCAGAGGCTTGAGGCTTGAGTGGTGGAACAGGCGTGCGCGATGTGGCCCGCATGTGCCCACGCGCCCCTTCACCCAGCTCAGCCAGGTCGTGTTGAGTTTGAAACGGGGCCCGCGGAGCTGCTCAGAGTTTCGGCAAGCTCGGGTCCAGGATGTCGCTCGTGACTTCCTCAGGTATGACTCGTGGGCCAAGATGCAGATCGCTGAGAGTGTAGACTTCGCGTCTGAGTCGGACTTCTGGTGCCTTGACGTGATAAGCCTTGGGGCCTTGGCTCAGGCTTGCAGAGTGGTAAGACTGCTCAGGGCCACCAACCCGGCTGTCCAGGTTCCACATGGCATTTGGACTCACCACCCAGATCGAACACCACCTGTTCCCTGGGATCGGCTCCTCGTCCAACTGAGTGGGCTTCATGAGACTGCCGCGCGTATGGCGTTTTGCGATTCCGCGTTCTTTGTTTGTGATGGATTAGATTTTTCCCGCACTTGTCACATGTGGGACCCCTACATCTAGACTTGTCTTCTCAAATCCCCATGATGCACGAGAGCCGGTTCAGGAACTGTTTCGATGGAAAACTGGAAAACCTCCCGAAAACCTCCTCCTCCTCCAGGGTCTCTTCCGGGAATTCAGTCCGGCCCCTTGTGCCAACCTGTTATGCCTAAGCCGGCGGTGGTTTCGATGTCACGTCTTGTCTAGAAGGCCCAAAGGGCTGGCATCATCTGGCATCAACACCCAGTCGATTCTTGCTACAAGCAGCCACCCTGTTGATAAGATTGTTGCCCCGGAATCTCGATTTAAGGGTGTGGGTGCCTGGTGCCATATAGGCACCAGGCATAGTTGACAAGCGCTGCGAAGATGTCCCAAAGCCGCTGGTGCTGGGATACATGGGTCCACCCGATGGCAGATTCCAAGGCATTAGCATTTCATTCCAAGGCATTATCGTTTCTCCTTTTTTGCCATCCTTAGCGGAGGTTCATTGTCTCAGAGGCTCTGAGAAAACAACCCAGAGCTCAATTGCCAAGCTGTCCCGATTGATCAGGTCATCATTGCTACGACACCATCCGCCACATCACACGCGATGTCTGCAAGAAGCACGGTGTGTGCCGAAGCAAAAGCAAGCCTCAAATGTTCCGGCAGAGTGTGTGTGCGGAGGATTGCCATTCCAAGTTGCCGAACATCCAAGGCACCATCAGGATGTCTCTGCATCTACAGCCTTCAGGCACGTATCCATTGGTGTTGTTTGCGATGCATTATAGCGCTTTCAGCATTGCTGGCGATTGAAAGAGGGTTAGCAAAGAGGATCAGTGCTACTGGCTATCGGCATCGCTCTAAGCTATAGCTCCCCGTGCAGCGCGCTGTGGAAGCGTCTCGTGGCTGCTGCTCCGGCTGCGCTGCTGGCGTGAGGAGGCAGGACGTTGGAAGTCGGGGCGTGTTTTTGTGGCCACTGGCAACGCCTGTCTGGTAGACGCATTTGGCCAGGCCGAGGAGCTGAGTTGAGACGAGGGAAGGATTTTGTTGGACATTCTGTCCGAGCACTCCAGGCACATCCCCGGTAGAATCCCAGACTCGGAGTTTGTCTAGTCCTGCGTGTTTCTCCTTGGGCCCTTTTTTAACAGGGGACCGAACCTCAAATTCAGATTTTCTGTTAAGCTTTGCCTCGGCAATTTTTGACAGCATGCTATGAGGCACGGCAGCGAAATACTTTGCAAAGCTGTGCGCTTTTGAGCGGCGCTGGCACCAGAGTCAAAGGCTCTGGCTCACTGCCGCCCAGATATCCATGTTGCAGCGGGCAGATCCATAGCTCATGATATTGAATGCGTTGCCTTGCTGGTTTGCTCTGCCAGTTTTGCTTTCATTCCATTCTTACTCCTCTTGTGGGTGGATGTTGTCGGCAACCTGGAGATGGGCCAGGCTGCTGCAGGCGGAAATCAGGCCATCGTTGGGGGCAACAGAGGAATGGAGTGGGGCGCTCCGCCGCAGCAGCCGAATAAGTATCAATCAATCATCTTGCAGGCTACATTGGAGCTCTGGCTGGTCGCAAAGCAAATTTGCACATGGCATTCGTCGAAGGTCTCGGAAGAACTGCCAGCTGGAGAGGGCTGCTAGCCGTCTCCGTGCCTGGTGTTGATCTTATTGCTAAGCTACCTTGGAACGACCATACTGTAGCTACATCCTCTTGGACTTCATGGCTAACCTAATGGCTAACCTACTGGAAGGCCAGTCAGGCACGAATTTTCCTGCCCACTTGCTTGGGCGCCAATAAGGGTTCCATTTGTACATGGTGCTGAATGCAGCACGCCGCATGTTGGAGATCTTCCTTGGTGCTTCTGGCTCGATATCTAGAATCTGCTCTTCCGAAGATGGCTCCTCAAAAGAAAGCAATCTCTCTGGTGGGGAGATCTCTCCAATGCTATTCCAACTTTGTTCAAGCTCTGCCTGCTGCCAAGAGCCTCCAGTTTCAAGCAGAGCTCGGGAACATGTCGCACTCTAGCACCTAGTACCCCAAATCCAAGCTGAGACTGAGAAGATGCAATTGCTTAGTGCGAGATGTCTTCCCAACCTGAAAGTCAATTCTCTCATGGACCCGCCTGTCATCTCTTGGGAGGTGAGATCCAGCTGCTTTCGTCCGCGACACCACATGCCGCACATGTTACAGCAGTCGCGAGCAAAATCTACATTGTGAGCTTGTTGCTTTAGAGGCTCGAGCGATTGCCTGCACATGTCAAAGAGCGAGGCACGAGCATTTTGGCTCTGTCTGAATGGCTTCTTTTTGACTCCGACCATCTGCTTGGGTGGGCGCAGGGTGGTTCCCCCTCTGTTTCCCACTACCTCCTCCAATCTCCTCCCCCTCCTTCCATTTCCTCGCAACCCCTTTTCCTCTGCCCCTCCTGCTTTCGTAGGCCAGGTCCCCGCTTCACATTTCTGGGTCTGTTCAACTCCTATATTGCGATGTTTGTCCCCGGCCCCCCTTTTTGCAAAGTCTCGACCCCAAGCTGTGCTCCGCAGTGTCACCAGCTGCAACCTGCTCATTGCGAGGTGCCCTCTACGGCCTGTCTCAACAGACCAAGACCTGCCAAGCATGTGACAACTCGACAGATGGCGGGAGTACATGTGCTCAGCAAATTCTTGTCCGCCAAGGAAGGGGGCCCCGATGGAAGAGACTTGCCTTTATTGGCCATGTGACTCTCTGACTTCGGGTCTTGGGGTAGTGTGGGGCAGTGTGCGGCAGTGTGGGGCAGTGCCCCTGAACCACCATCAACCTCATCAACCACCGTCAGGTCTCCTCAAACCGCCCGACGCCACCACCTCGGGCGGCCGCGGCGCGGAGTGGCGTGAAGGTCAGAGGAGTGTAAGGGGCAGGGGAACCAAGGCAGCGGACGCGCGAAGGAGCGCAGGAAACGCCACGCTACGCATCAATCGAGATTGGCAAGAGAAAACGAAGTCGAGTAATGAGAGGGAGAGGTACTCGGGCCGCGAAGAAGGGTCGATGTTTCAGGGAGTTTCGAGGGCCTCTTCCGGCTTTGACATGCAACAGCTTGTGTTGCAGTTGGCCTCCATGCGCCCGCGAGACCCTCGCCTCCTGGATGCTGTTATGAGGGGGCTTTGTGCTGCGAGACTCTGTCCAGTTTGGAAAGGATTCTTATTTTTCGGCCAGTTGAGGCTTTGAGGATTCCAGCGGCACCTTCGACGTGGATGGATTTGGGAGCCTTGGCTGCGAACACTCTGGTCATCTCTGGTCCACCATGGGAGTTGGTTTTTGTTCGTTTTCTCTGCCTGCTTCCTGCCGCCTGAGGAAGGCATACTCCTTTCTGGAAGAGAGCGCTGGCTGCAGTTATCAACTTTCAGTGTTACATGCCATGACCAAATTAAGCCACAGATGTCAAGATATCCCTCCTTGTCCTTGTCGTGCTGCAATGGTGCCCGCGGCTAGTGAGTTCAGTACCCTCAGGTACCGGGCAGAAGAGCTCGAAAAACTGAAAGAAGCCCAGCACAAGTTGCAAGAGTTGCGCCGGAAGCGGCCGAAGGATGGGGCACTTAGCTGTTTAGGCGCCTCCTGATCACATGCTTGTCCTGTGCTTCGGTTGTCTGACACACAAGCAAGACAGGCGGAATCACTCACAAATCCTTCCAAAAAATCGATTGACCTAGAGCAATCAAGCAGAAAATCAGCATCTTAACGGCAGTTAGCTGCAGCTTAGCTGCGATCAGACAGCACAGCTTAGTCAGGTGTCGCCGTAAGTTCTGAGCTTGTTTTTAATGGGACTGCAAGCCTGTGTAATGGAAGATCTGAATCAATGAAAAGTGTTGACACGACGACTCATTTGTCAGAACGGATGGGGAAGTATTGGCCCGACTGAAGCCAGCTACGCTGGCCAGGAGCAGATGGCTAGAAAATCACGCTGACAAAGTGTGCAGTTTTCCATTCGCAGCCAAGCCGACCAGGATTCGACACTGGAGGTGCAGGAAGAAGAGGTCACATCAGAGAAGCTTGGGCTGTTTGGTCGTGTGAGCTGCCGGTTGAGGCATGATGTCACGGCACATGAGATGAAATGGCTCGCCATCTAGCCTCCGAGGATAAAGCGCAGAGTTCAGCAGGACAAGCAAAGGCCACGCCTCGGTTTGGTTTGCCCAGCCTAAACCCTAAACCCTAAACCCCTAAACCCTAAACCCTAAAAAAGACCCTAAACCCAAAACCACCCTAAACCCTAAACCCTAAACCCTTTTTGAGAGTCGCAAAAGTCCCGTGTTGTGGAGCCAGGAGACACATAGGTCGCCTCCAGGATGCTGAGCGGACTCTCAAGGGACAAGAGCGGCAGAAGGTGAAGGAGACGGGCAAGGCACTCCTTACAGGGTTTAGGGTTTAGGGGGGTTTAGGGTTTAGGGTTTAGGGTTTAGGGTTGGCTTACTGACGGGTCTGTTTGCCCCCACCAGGAACTCCTAGGGCGGGGGCCGCAACCAGTCTTGGTGTGAGGTGCCGTACTTTCACCGGAAGAAAGCAGCGCGAAAGTTGCTGATCGAGAAGAAGAAGGAGGCTTGCAATGACTTTTTGTGGGGGTCGTGAAAAATCGTTCAGGCTACGGAGTAGACTCAAGAATGTTGCTGTTGACATGTAAGCTGTACTGTGCAGTTTTCGCCTTGAGGAGAAGAAGGAGCAACATGGCAGAAACAAAGCGGAGGCCCGCTTAGTCTCCATTTGCGGCACATCGGTTTAAGTCAGGCCGGGTTCATTTAGAGGCTTGGAGGCTTGTAGTTGCCGGTGTCACGGGATGGAATTGGAACCAGCCAGACGCGTGGCATGGAACTCTTGGGAGGTTTCCTATAAGGCTTTGCTGCAGCCGTGCAATTCAGATTGTGGTATCATCAGGTATCTTGACTTGGGCCAGAACCCATACATGCTCAGGAGAACCTTGCGAAAAATCTTTGAACGATCGGTCTCAGTGGTAAGCAAGCTCATTGTGCAGGAGCGTCGGGAGAAGAAGCTCGCCGCGCGCGAGAAGAAGAAGATTCCAACACGACGCATGTGAGACTCATGTGAGCTGCTACCGCATCTGTGCGTTCCCCGAGCATGCGACCACCCACAAACTCTGGGTAACGCTGTCTCGACGGTGGGATGCAGCGACGCTATTCTGAGCACAAAGGCCGAGGCAGGCTGCTTTGCGTGCTTTCTCGCCGCAGACGTCCACTTCGGGACAACGGTGCAGGTCACAATATGAGTATTTGGTCATCTGCTCGGCAGAGACCAGAGTTTAACAAGAACGGACTACCGCTCACTCTTGGCCAGCTTGGTGACGGCTGGTCTTGTAATCGCCCACAGCTTGCTTGAAAATAGTGCGTCAGCCTGTGCCGAGTTGTGAGGTTGCAAGTCCACTACTGGCCTCAGCACTTCCCACGAGGTTGACGGTGCCGGCGCGGCGGCCGAGGCACGCATCGAGATTCCCAATTCCTGGAGCGATGCAAGGTTGCAGGAGGTACCAGTAGCATGGCTTGGCAAGTTTTCCCTCAACAAAGCTAAAGATCTGTTTTTTTTTGGGATCGGGGGTGGAGGGCTGAGTCTACGACCCTCAGGACCGAAGCCTAGGCAGACGAATTGCTCCCGAAGCTTTCCTAGTTTCCTCCCTTGACTGGAGGCCTGAAGTTTTCCTTCTTTCCTGAATCGCAGGCCCTTGGGAAGCCTTTCGCCTTGAACCGTTTCTGGCCCTTCTGGCCTCTTCAAAGGCCTTGACATCACAGTGGGTACTTGAACCAGGGGTGACCATCCATCGCAACATTTGTTTGGGGCCTCATTTCGTACCATGGCCACTTCAAATGCGTCTTGGAAGCTAAGGCCGCGCTTCTTCGAAGCGTGAAGCCTTTAGAATCCTTTAGGCCAGGCCTGAAACTTTCTTAGTTTGAAGTTGAAGCCAGAAAATGGAAATACCTACCTGAAGATTGCATCTCAGTGAACAGAGTTGCACCGAGTGTTTTTTCCTCCATCAACTAATCCGGGTGCATCACTATGTTGCGCAAGCACGTGTTGGAAAGGCTCTTGCGCTTGTTGAGCTTCTGGCAGTCTTTGCACAGAAGTTAGAATAGATAGAATTGAGACAGACAGACGTATTTGTGCACGTGTGGGTTGCTGAAAGATGCGCCCCCCCCCCCCCCCCCCAGCATTAACCACCGCAATTCTCAGTAGTTCTGGGATCGGCTTTGGGTGGGGATCTGACCGAAAACTTAAACATAGCAGCTGCGTCATACATAAAGACTGCTCCCCCCCCCCCAAAAAAAAAAAAAAAACAATCAACAAGTGCCCCCCAGAATGACTGCAGAATGACTGCAGAATGCCTGCAGAATGCCTGCAGAATGACTGCAGAGTGATTGCAATCTATTGGAAGGCAGCGCGGCGAAGCTTTGTAGTTGTCGTTGCGATCTCAGCACTGTCCGAACAGACGCGGCGTTGAATGTGGATTACAGGCTTGAAGTTATGAGGTGCACAAGCTTACGCCCAAGCAGGCACTAAGAATGTGGGGTGATCATGGTTCAGGGCTTGCTAGATCTTGCTCGGAGGGAAGGATCTCGAGTTCCCCACCGTAGCTGTTACAGGCACAAATACGCGAAAGCGTGCAATGCTTGTACCAGCAGATGTGGTGTCTTCTCCTTTCCTCCTTTCGTTGCCTTCGAGTCGCTGTGGCTGTCATTGCGAGACCAACTCCCGCGAACGAAGGTTGTGGCAGGAGCTGCCGAACGGCTACGTTGAGGGGGAAGTGGTGCACATGCATTTCGATGGTATGCTGGTGTTCTTATCGGTCTTGGTCTCGGCGGCAGGTGCGTTTGCATCGTTAACAACCTCCGCATACATGCGCTTGGTTAGAGACACGAAGTGGTACTACATTCTGCTCCTTCAGTGCGGTCTTGGGCTGGGAGTCTCCACAGTCTGGGCGATGCACTTCGTGGCTATGCGCAGTGTTCACCTCGGGGGTGGGTCAGAGTCTGATGGCGCACACCGACTTCAGATGGGCTTCGATCAAGTATTCACCTTCTTGTCCGCGTTGGTTGCCTGGATTCTCTCAACGTTGGCAGTGCACATTGCCTTGAGTGCATCCCACAAAGGTCCCCGGCTCGGGCTTTCGTCTGTCATACTGGCTGCGGGCATCTTCTCCCTGCACTATATGGGCATGCTTGCCGAAAGGGGACCGTTCATCATCCACTACAACGTAGAGATGGTACTTCTGAGTCTTGTAGTGTCCGTCGCGTGTTCTGTGGGAATCATGGCTCTTGTCCAGCGCCTTCCTAATTCCACGACATGGCGCATTGCTGGTGCTTGGCTGGTGTCTGCTCTTGCCTGCAGCATCCACTACCTAGCCCTTCTAGCACTGACGCACAAGGCGCATCCCTCTGGGTGGACATGGGGCATCATCTGGGAGCCGGTAGAGGTTCGCGCCGAGGTACCCGTCATTGTGTCCCTCGTGCTGGATGTGCTCCTTATGACGGGCAACGCTTTCTACTTGGAGGTCATCCAGGTCAGAGACAAAGTCGCCATGGAGAAGGAGCTTGAGCACAGCAGCTTCGTGTCAGAAACGAAGCGGCTCATGAAGCGATGCAGGCAGATGCAGTTCCCCATGGCTGTCCTGCGGGCCAATGACTTTATGAAGTTGGGCAAGATTGCGCAGCATGAGTGGCTTCGGGATAGAAAGCTCCTGATCATGCTGGACACACCTGCAGGAGCTGCCAAGCTACGCAGGAAGGGCTGCATCATCTTCTTTTCGCATCAGTGGCTCTCCACCGACTTGCCCGATCCGGCTGGGCAGCAGTTTGGAGACATGACCAAGGCGATCCAGGAGATGGCGAACTCCCAGCGCTTGAGAACAGAAAGTATCTTTGTGTGGGTGGATTACTCCTGCATCCCGCAGCGTTCCGCAGAGCAGCAGCAGTTGGCGGTGAACTCCTTACCGGCCTATGTGGCCGCGTGCTCTGAGTTTGTCGTCATCGCTCCGCAGGTGCTGCATGCTAACACCAAGGCCCCCTGTAACTTTACAAGCTATGCAGGCCGCTTCTGGTGCCGCTTGGAAGTCTTTTGTGCTCTCATGTCTGCAATGGCGCAGGAGCACACGGGCCGCAATAACATGCTTATGACAAGCAGGGTGAGCATGGCGAGCAGCGTGGGCTCCATCGGCTCGACAATCAACGAAGACTCACCAGACGAATTTTTTACATGCGTAGGACGCTGTGAGTCAGACATGTCGCAAGAGGAGGACTCTGTAAAGCAGCGCATGTACGTAGTGTGCGAGGGCAAGCTCCAGCCTTTACTTTTTCTTGGACCCCACGGCTTGAAGGAAGACTTTGCAGATTTGCTGGACGTGTACGGAGGAAGCCTTGATTGCTGCAAAAGGGGCCACAAGACGGCATCGGGAGAAGAGACTATCTGCGACAAGGCCAGAGTCGTGGAAACTTTGACGGGGCTGTATGGTACCATGGTGGTGCAGCTCTTGAGGTTGCGCAAGGAGAGTGAAGGAGGGCTTCTCCGACAGGGCCTTGTGCAGCTGGGAGACATGTTGATCCAGCAGCGTGATGCCTTGTTCCCGGCCGAGTACTTCAGTACACGCATACAAGCCGTGCATGAGTGTTTGAGCCAGGAGTATTTAAGACAGAAGTCGAAGACACGCGAGGTCCCGATCAATCGGCCTGAAGGCATGACTGGCTCATTGACTCTGACAGATGTTGATACGCTGTTGTTGGAGCTTGGTGCTGCGATTGTTTCTGAGGACTCTTCCATCTCTCTCTCTGACACAGACATGAGCACCTTTGGCATAGGCCCTCGGAGAAGTGATACAGAGGATCCGCAGGAGCTCTGGGTTTCAATGTAGTTGTCACAGCTTTCTGCCGTGCTCTGCCTAAAGGGCAACCGGCGTTGTCGTTTCTCGCTTACGTGTCGAGTCCTCCGCCAAATTTGGGCCAATGCACACGCGAGGTTGTCTTTCAACCCTACTTAGTGTTTCAAGTTGCAACCAGAAACGGTCGAGGATGTGTGAAAACATGAGCGGCGCTCATGCAAGCACCGTGAATACTTGCAGCAACTTGCATTCATGAGGTGTCGCCCATGGCCCAGATCTGACCTGCATAAAGGGGCTCTGGAAGGGTTTCTGTTCGCCGCACGCAGCTTCAGCATCGTGTGTGGGCCGCCTGCAGAGGCAGCGCGCGCACCTCTGGCAGCAGAATTGGGTTCTTTAGGATGTGCCAAACCTGCACACTCCAAAACCGGGGTGAGGTCACGAGTTACGTTGTGTTCCTGCCGAGTGGTTCGTCTAGCTGTGTGGGTGGCAACAACACTCCAAAACTAAGACAAGACCGATGCCTCAATGATCGTCAGGAGTTGCATCGAAGTTGCGACCATACTCTGCCGCTTTATCTAGCCTGGTCAATACAGTAGGTGTCAACAGCTTACTCAGCTGCACTGGGCTTCAGCATCACTAGCGATACCTAGCGATCTCTGTTTCATCTCTTTCTTCGTGCGTAAGCGCCGCTCCGGCACCATGAGCAGCAAAATTGGGCCTCCAGAAGCGATAGATTGTACCTGATCTTTCATGAACTACAGTGTTACGGGGCTTGTACCTGATCTTTCATGAACTACAGTGTTACGGGGCTTCTGAAGGATTCTGAAGGTCTGACATGCGACCTTGGTGGGGGGGGCTACCGAATCCTTGGCCATTCCAGATATGCCAGATATGTGTAGTTGGGGTTCGGGCGCTGCCTGCACATTTACGAGCGAAGAGTGCATTCTATGATAAAAGCTCCAGTTGCCAGTGTTGAAGAAGAGAATCTACATGGTTTCCTTGAGTTGACAGTGAGTGCCTATCGGGCATAATGCATACATGGCAAGGAAGGTGGCGTAGAACTGGCTGCCCAGAACTCCTAGCCTGTCATTGTGGCCGCTTTGCAGTAGATGGCTGTGCTTAAGCTGTGCCTGCGTTTGGAGAAGCGGGCGCCCCTCGAAGAGCAATAGTTGTCCACCCCATATGGTACTTCATGCAGGCAGGAAGTTGCAAATAGGATGCTCCACTCAGGTAGCCTCGATGGGCGATAAGCCTGCCTGGGGTGAGGCCGCTTGTGTAAGTCAGCAACAGGATCTCAGGCTTGGGTATTGTGATACGGTATTGTGGCGGTTTCAAGGCATCACATGCGTAGCCGCTAGGATGTGTAGGGGTAACAGGTATCTCCATTAGCTCGGCAAATGAGTCCGCGCACCAGGAATATCCACAGCTTGAGCACGCATGTGGGGCAGGGTCGGACTTCTTTGTGCTTAATGACTTAGATGGATTTGGCCCTGCGCAAGCCTGAACCCTTGAGCGGTCAAGTTCAGCTTGATGTCCCAATGCCGCATGAAATCTTGCAGGGAAAGTCTGAAGCGATCTTGAACCGTTGATTGCGCAAGTGAAGCTTGCTGCAACCGGACGAACCGAAACCTAGCCTGCCTGCCTGCCAAGTCTGCTTGTGCGTTATCCAAGGCTTTTCCTCTTTTCAGCAGCCAATACATTCGCAGAAGAATCGTAGAGAAACAACGGCTCTCGCCGTAAAGCAGGACGACCCCGATGATGCGCCTCGCGAGGAGGCGCCGCTCCCTGCCGAGGCCGACGGTCCTTTCTCGTCGTTTAAGAGAGGCTTCGGGATGTTCCCCTTTATACTAACAGTCTTTAATGGGGAATTTTATGGGGGGTATTAAAATCCTGTGTTAAGGACGGTCGTTTGCTGAGACTGCTAGGGGGGACGCCAGGTGCCGACATGTCAAAACTAGTTTTTCCGCCGACTTTCTAAAACAAGCGCCGACATGCAAAAGAAGTATGCTCCGTGATGGGAAAAATGCGCACAGCAGAATCAAATAGAGAGGTTTGTATGAAGGAATCCAGGAGGAATGAGGGAGAGGGAGTTGAGCGAATCAGAAAGTCAACAAATTGTAAACGACTCGACGAATGGCAGAAAACTTTAAGCACCAGTAAGGAGAAGGGAAGTCAGGCACAAGCTTCAAACAATGAACGTGGTGATGCTTGCATAACTGCGATAATGCAAGTGAGCATGTAGATAGCAGATGCCGCACGCGCCATGGCGACAACGTACATGCATTGACGCTTCCTCGGTATCCGTTCTCTTCAGAGTGACTCTGAAGGTCAAAAGCCTGGAGCTGGAATCTACATGTCTTACGTCCGTGCATGGGCATGGGTGCGCGGAGCACGGGTGAGAGTAGGCAGCTGGCATTGTTAAGACAAACCTTAGTGACTTCGTGCTGCGACGCCGGCTCTTTGGCATCGGGCAGGTTGTTTCCAGACGAAAGCGGAAGGTGTCTTGAATGCAGACCAAGTGTTCGTAGACATCTGGGTCACAGCCACGGCGAAGTTGGACATGAACTGACTTGCGCACTGGGGTGTGGGGGTGGCACAGTTCCTTGATCTGTCAACGTGAGCGGACTCAATGGATCAAGGTGACAAAAGAGGAGGAGGTGAAAGAGCAGGAAGAGTATGTCACCATGTCGCAGCACAGCTGCACCTGGTGGTGTAGCACAAGATGCAAGCAGGTTAACAACCCCAAGCAAGTGAGGGCAAGCGCGTTCATGTTCAAAGGGTGGAGGAGATCTTCCCCAAGAAGCCCATGGACCGGCTTCGCTGGCTCTTCAAAGCCTGCAAGGCATATGGGGTGCGATCTGGAGTATTGGTACCTTCATGCTGCCTCAAGGGTAAGAAAGCTTGGGTGATGCAGGCAGCCAAAGAGGGGCGAATCAAGCCAAACCCACTGCCTCTCGGACAAAAGGTCTGTTGCACTGCCATGCTGGCATGCTCCACTCATGGTGCCATGCGGTCGTTGACTAACGTACTGAACGGGGAGCCAGCCCTGATTGTCGTGTTTGGACTGTCAGCAGAAAAGAACATGCGCTCAAAATCGCTTAGAGGCGTGCATCGCATCGAGAGTCTGAGGTACAACATCGTCGCTCATAGGAGGTTTCTCGAAGGCCTCAAGGCCGGTGGTGTGGAGCTTCCAGAGCCGCTGACTTTGAGAGAGAAAAAAAAAGTGAGAGAGAGAGAGAGAGAGAGGAAAGGACCAGAGCCACCGAAGCCATCGCCTGTACCAGCAAGAAGAACACACACCCACCAAGGAAGAAACGGATGCCCTTCAAAGGGGAGAACCAGCATGCCAAGAGGCCATCACGCTCCTCAACGAATTGTCCCTACAAACCACCCTGGGGATGCGAGTGGAGCACGTGTCAGACATACTGGAGCAAGTCGCCACCCGAGCACAAACGGCCAGGGAAACCCACGTGAGGCTACACGCCGCCATGGAACGGAGAGCCGCAGCCACAGCCACAGCTGAGACACGACCTACGATACCGTGGCCAGCCGGCACACAAGGGGGAGAAGATTCAGCCCTGCCCTCATGCGCACACCCACCAACAGCTCCGCCCACAAACACAGCTCTTCACCTCGGACATCCACCACTGCACTCACTACACCGCTACCAGATCAGTTGGGCGAAAACGCACCACATCCTCACGAACCCGAAGTACCCGATCACCGACGCCGTCGTGGACATGATGGGGCGGACAGTGACTGAGGGAGGGACAGCCTTATCACTGCAGTGCTTTCGAGCCTCAACTTACCAACCGGTTTAACAATTTTCTGCAATGTTCCATCCAACCCCGTGGCATATGCCAGCCGTGTTACCTCGAGGAAGTCATAAAATCATTCCACTAGAGACATGTAGTGTACCGTGCTGCACCCTTTATACTTGTTCCTTGTTTCTCGCTCTCCTCGTGGGAGCACATACCTTCAACGAGGTCGGGGAGGTGTTAAGGGTGTGTGGGGTACTTTTCGGGGGAAACCACACCAAACCTCGATTTCACACACAGACAGTTCCCTGGAGCACGCCCTTCCGGGCGGTCCCTTCGGGGGCTGTGTGCAGAGGAAGGAAGGAAGGGGAAAGGGAGGGAGAGAGAGACAGAGACAGAGAGAGACAGGGAGAGAGAGAGAGAGAGAGAGAGAAAGGGAGAGAGAAAGGGAGAGACAGGGAGCCTGTTTGCACTCTGTTTTTGCTGCATTTGCTTGAGAGCCTGATTGAGTCTGTTTGGGCAGGGCAGCATTGCCACTGACTGCCTCAATCTCATCCGTGGCCACATCCACCTCTTTAGCCCCAAGCAGCAGAAACAGCCACTCAGCTGCAGAGCTAATCGCTGGTTTGTGCGAAGCGAGGCGTAGCACTCGAAGTGTCTCGTATTTGAATGTAAATAACATGCTGAGTAGGAGGTTGCTGTACTGCAAGTTTTCGACGCGGATTTAGTTCCGCCAACACCAGCCTTGCAAGCTTGCTTAGTCGACCTGGATGGCGGGCAGACTTTTCTGACTTTGAAGTCGCAGAACCGTCCCCTGGTCCCATGCGCGGCGACGACACGTCCCATATGGACGCGGCTGACTGGAGCTGTGGCAAGCCACATCGCCAATGGTGACAAACTGAAAGCAATGCTATCAACCGAAAAGAACTAGGCGTCGCTTACTACACAAATCACAAAGCTTGAGTGCGTTGAAAGCACAGGATATAGCAGTTCTCACTCAGAAACCCGGGAGTACGTAGGATGACAGACTTCCGCCGGTTTACCTTCGGGCAGGGAGAGAGAGAGAGAGAGAGAGAGAGACGCACGCCTTCGGGCGGCCCCTCCAAATGGGGAGGGGTCAGGTGCGCAGAAACAAAGAAAGCAACAAAGCAAGAAAGCGAGAGAGAGAGAGCAAACAAGCAGCCCACCAGATCAATAACCAATGTCATAAGCATAGTTCTTGAATGTTCAATAGATTAAGATATGTAAAACAGATTAACAAATGTATGACAAAAAGAAAGCAGAAGCACATAGAAAAAAACAACACCAACATAAACATACATACATATACGATAAGGTAAGGGCAAGTATCAGCGCAAAAGACAGGCATACTCCCATGTGCCTTCCTCGTGACAGGCTGCAGTCCGACAACTTCGAGCTGTTCCGGAAGTATGCCCCAATCAGTGCGGGGTTCTGAGTGAACTGCGCGACGTTTTGAGCACGCGGTCTAGAGTTGTGTCCCATGACTGAGGCTTGCCTGCCGCCTAAACCCTTAACCCTAAACCCTAAACCCTAAACCCTAAATCGCGTTTGGAGCTGCGCTTGAGTGGGAATCTGGCGGATTATCATAGTGAGAACCTTCCGACCGAGTCCTTGCCTGCCTTGTGCGAGTGCGAGAGCCGAAACCCTAAAACCTAATTAAACCCTAAAACGTTAAACCCTTAAACCCGGAACTGTTCTAGTATGTTGGTGTGGCCAATCTTGGGGAGGTCCTTGACTCTGACGATGACGAGGATGCCGCGCCGCCACTGCCGCCGCCTCCGGAAGTCCACGTCGAGATGAAGGAGTATATATATATATATATACACAAGTTCTTTAGCCGTGTGTATATGTATAGTAGTATATAAGAAGAAATATATATATATATATATACTCATATTCTTTCATGTATGTACATTTGTATGTATATGTGCATGCATGTATGTATGGATGTATGAATGAATGAATGTCTGTATGTATGTACGTACGTGGGCCTGGCAAGCATGTACCTCTGCGAGGACAAGAAAAAGAAGAAGGGCGAAGCACGCAAGCAAATAGAGGAGGAGGAAGAGTTTGGCTTCAGTGATGATGACACTGAGGTGAAGAAGGCGTGGCATTTCTTTCGACTCTTCGATATCCACAGAGATGTGCGAACAGGCGAAACCACACGGAGTGAATGCTGCGATCCAAGTTGGCCAAACACATCCGAGCGGCAAAGCTGCTGGCCCCACAAATTGCAAAAATGCTGGCCGGCATGCAGAAGGCGTGCAAAGACGATAGAAGAATCGATATGCAAAACGTACAAGTAGGTATTAATGAGCAGGGATGCTGAACCAACGAAGCCTTGCTCGGCACTTGAATCGGATCACCGATTCCATCCCAATTTGACAATGCAAAAAACCAGAAACATGCAGGCCGCTTGGCCGACATGAGGAGCACACGCGTACATGAGATGAAAACAACAACAGTGGCAGCAGCACCACCAACAACGACAACAACAAAATTATGAGTTCTGTTTTCCTGAGCATTTTTCAAGTCCACATGGCGTCATAGATGGCAAGAGTAGTAGACATTCCGGTCCAAAGTCACGGTAAGTGACGTGCCGAGATGCGGTGCGCAATTCATCTCCGGGAGTAGATATTGCGACAGTCCTCGGGCAGTGAAATGCTGGGATTTCGCCACCTTGGGCTTCAAAGCGGGACCTCGATTCCTAAATAGATAAGTGCAGGATGGCCTAAGCCCTGATATGAGCGGTTGCTGGAATCCTTGGGAGAGTGTGCTCGATTACTAGTGTCTTGGGGAGGCGAGGATTTTGGCCAAGGGCATCGAACGGCGTATTGACCCAGCAGATGGCCAGGCGGTGCTTTTAGCCTTGACGGTCCCAAATTTCCGGATGAGTTTGAAGGGTAGCCGGAGAATGCAACCTGTTTTTCGACAGCTATTGTTTTTTTGCAGAGGGAGGCTTCTCTTTTGCGCTCACAGGGACATGGGCCATCGTGGACCATCTGTCACCACGTGACCAGGCGTATACTTTAGAGGAGTTCACCACGGAGTACGGTGGCAGAATCCTCAGATCATAACCCCTTGTGACCGTTGTAGATTGCAGAGTCTGTTTCTTGTCTGGGCTCGGAGTGGGAGGGAGGCGGTTTGTGGTCTCTTCGACTGCTTTGGTATTTAGAAGTTTAGGATGTGTAAGGTATACAAGGTGCAGTAGGGTTTGCGATCTAGGCGTGCCTCGTTTCCGAAGAGCATTGACGGGAAAGTATAGGCTTCTTGTACCTGACATACGCTGTATGAACAAGGGTGGGGGAGGCAAGGGGGGAGGGAGGCAGAAAAAGCAACCGAAGCCTTGCCTGATGTGAGCGGGAGTGGGAGCCGAAGATGCTGGCAACCTGCCCTCCCACCTCCTCCTCCCCCCCAGCATTTTCTTTACAACGATCTTGCGTGCTTTGAAGTGCCTGTTGTAAGGAAAGCGTTGTCGCATATGCCGCGACCCTCCACCCTTCCTCGCCCACAAACAGCAGCTGCAACAACGACAACACCGACAGCAGAAGACAGTGGCTTCCCATGATTTCCCATCGACTGATTATTGCCCGCCCCCCCCCCCCTCCCCCCAATCTCCACGTCTTGCACGGCACCTTAACTCCAGTGCAGTTGAAGAGTTCGACAATGCATGGACTAGATGTCGCAGGCAGTGGGGACAAGCCACCCGTCGAGTGGGAAAACGCCAGACATACGTCGACACTGGGCGGCAACAATGTGCACAAGATGCTCTAACAGATGCAGCACTGTGACAGTACTGTGCTGTGGTGCTTGCAACAGTGGCAACAAGAGTTTGAGCTTGTTGGTGGTGGCTTGCACATACCTATGGTGCAGTGAAGATCTAAGGTTCATCTACAAGGAGTAAGCTGGCAGCGCAACATGTCATGTAGTCCTTGCCCTGTGGCTCATCCATGATCGCACCAACGTGGGGTTCCTGCGCTACAAGCTACGCGTTCGTACCAGAACTTGCAGGATTTAGACATGTCGTGACCCGGCACTCGAATGCTTTAGTCCTGATTCATGCGTGCTTCGACATGGAGAAGCCCAGTGCAAGAGCACTAGCCGAAGAGGTCCTAGCCAGCGCACTTCACTGGCCTCGTTGTTGTGACGTGCTGGCCGGGCGCAGCCCAAGCCCACAAGCTGCCCGATGCTCTATCGCGGGAATAATCCGCATTCCTCGGACGGCTGCTGCAACTGCTGTGCTGTCACCACTTCGAGCTTGCCTGGAAAGTAGATAGGGTTTGAGGCATGATTGCACCAGTACCAGCAGAAGTGCTTGATGCAGCATTTGCAGCATCTGAAGCTAAGCAAACGCGACTTAGACTGAGCCGAAACTCGCTGCTCAAAAATTGCCTTCCACGCTTCCTTCAATCAGCTGTCTGTTGTGGATCTAGTGCGGTTTCCACAGTCTCCTCACTGCATCTGCTGAGTCATTGTTGGAGAAGCAGAAGCCGGCTTCTTCCTTCATGAACATCTTTCTGGGCGTGTTGGAGGCTCGCCTTAGCATGCTTTCATGATCACAGTCGTCCAATGAGCAGACCTGCCTATTGTGTCAAGTCGTTACTGTAGCTTGTTGAGCGCTCCGACGAACATGCGCCGCTGACGCATGAGGTATGTGAGCTAGAAGATGGCCCCTGAGTGACCCAAGAGTCCGGCACAAAAAAGCGTGTGAGTCCCAGCATGTCCTGACATCAAGCTGCCACTTTCACATGGCATGAGGCTGCGATACTGCTCTTTGCAATGAGCGATGCTTTTCTGTCGACCTGCCGATGCTAAGCTTCATGGACGCCCCAAAAGCCACGTTCGCCGCCGTCTCCAAAGCTGTCAAACGCGCCATTTCTCTCCTTCCTGCTGCGTGGCGATTAGTAGATGGCGCAAGAGGCCCGTGCCCCAAAAGATTGAAGCACCGGCAATATGCAACTTGAATTCCACCCCGGCAGGCGTCGCCGATGGCTGACTGCCAGGAAGATGCCGCAGAGGAGGCTTCTGTGTGTAGCTTTTGCAGCAGCAGGGGCTGATGGGTGTTCGGCAGTTTGGAAGCCACTCGTTGCAACGCCGCCCACAGGCCCCCAAGAAGAGACCGAAAGAAGCAAAAGCCTTCCGGCGATCGTCTCAGATCCCCGTAGTTCTAGCACTTGTTCGGGCAATGGCATGACGAGCATCTGGAAGTAGGCCACCACAAATCTCAACAGCACTGGGATAGTTTGGGCTGAGGCAAGTGGAAAGCAAGAAGTCAGGGCAGGCATGCTTCTTTGCGTGTTTGCTCGTTGCTCGCCCTTGGTTTTGTGGGACCTGCGACTTGTGTCTGCGGCATAGCAGCATGTGCTATCCCAGCTGTTTGCAGGAAGCAGAAGCGCCCGCAAAAGACATGCAGGCGATGGGTTGCTTGACTTTCGGTTGGGCCCATGTTGCCACAGATGCAGGTTGAGAGTACGATTAGCCAACGTTCCAACACATATTGCGCTTTATAGCTTCCTTTCTGCATCCTCCTGCTGGAGTGCATCGCGCAGCTAAACTTGGGATCTCAAAGCGGTTGTGAACACTACAAACAATTTGGTTGATGGATGATGGATGTTGATGGGCCAGTAGCCAGTAGACGGATGCTACGGAATCGTTTGGACTTTCTAGCGGTGCAACCTGAGGCGAGAGCCACTTGGTTTGTTTGTATTGGCGATGTGACACGATGAATTCAAGCCATCGCCCGACGCTAGCATCTTGCAACCTACAACAGTCTTGAAAAGCTTGTGCTTCTTGCTGGTATGTTTTTCGTGCGCACATGCCTTGACTTAGATACTGTATCCTCTACTAAGTGCGACACGAGCCAGTCGTTGAAATTTAAGTGCGATGAAATTCCATGTTATGAACCCTTGCAATTTGTGAGCTGTTGTTTTTTGCCAGGATGGCGTTATGTTAATGCCGGTACGAATGATTCAGTAGCTTCACAGTTTCGGGATGCATGTTCCCAGCTTTACAGCTTTGGAGGGCTTCAGCCACTGCAGGGGGCATCATGGGGCCCTAGTGTGTCGTAAAACTCGTAAAACGTTCCCGTGGGTTGCGTGCGCCTGCGTCTGGTGGCCAGGAGGAGGCCGCAGAAGACAGCGCGAGCCAAAAGGATCAGGAAAGCCTGGGCTGGCTGCATTGCAAGTTTCCTGTTCCGTGATTTGGCTCGGCACCGAAATCTTCCAAGGAGGAAGTGAAAGCTGAGCCGCATAAAGGCCGAGCACTCAGTGCGCACCGTGCACAGAATTCGCCAGCGTGTGCAGCCGCACGAGATGCTCCTTCACGCGCATGAACGCGACCCCCTCATTTTAGGCACATGTGACATGTGCTCAGAGCGGGTCTTTCACGGAAGGGTTGGCCTTGAAGATGTCGAGACTCAGGCTACTTTACGGGGCACCCATGGCACAAAACATATACAAACATGTAGAGGGGCATGGGGGGTTTGGGGCATGTGCCATGCCGGTTGCAGAGCAGTAAGGGCTCGCCTTGAGCCTTGGCTTCTGCTGCTCCTGCTGCCATTGCTGCCACTGGAGTTGCTCCGTACCTTTGCGCCGGCGGAGGCCGTGGGGCCTTGTGTCCGTGAGTTGGGAAGTGTGAAGCACTTGGCATGCTAGAAGTTCTTCCTGTCAGCTACCACGGCGTGTTCTTGTCGCTGCTGCTGTGGCCGCGGCCCCTCGCGCTGCGACTCGGAGTTGCAATGCCCTTCAAGTGGTCGGAGGTTTAGTTGATCATCGATCCATATTGATCCTTGTTTCACCAGGGAGCAGAGCTAGGGTTTGGATCCACCTGCATATGGTTTCTGTTTCATAAGAGGTGATGCGGTCGTCTTTGCCAGAAGCGTCTCATGCTTTCCATGATTGATCTTGAGTCGTTACCTTGACCTGTCTTGCTACAGGCCACCAAGGACGAGCTGTATGAAATTGCTGGCGCCTTTGCGAAGCTGGAAACGGACCCCAGATCACCAGGCGCTGCTGCAGTCTACGAAGAGGTGGAAACAACCCTGGGGAACGCTGCTTGGCATGTACAGTATTCTGCTTTTTGTGGTTTTGAGTGTGTATGGCGCGTGTGCGTGTTCGCGCGCGCGCGCGCGCGCACGTGTTGGGCTGCGCCAAGGCGATTAAGAAATGGGAGAGTGGAGCGATCACCGCCCCGGCCATACTGGAAGAAAAGGCGCGGCTGAGACTGGGCCGCGCGCGTGTCCGCATAGCCTTGAACGATATGATGGACGGCACGCTTCCAGAGAAGGTGGCTGGGGCCATTGAAGACTACGGGGTTGGCATTGGCATCATGGAGGATGACTTGCGGCAGAACCCTGATAAGCTGATGTACAGCTACTTGGGCCATCTGGGACGTCGAATTGTTGGGGTTGTGATGAGTTTGGGGTTCGAGGCCAAGCCAAAGCCTTTTTGAACGGTAGGCTAATGCCAGGTGAGTACCCGGATGCCCTCGTCAAGAGAGGTTTGGCGCAGGAGCAGCTGAAGAATTGGGAGGGTGCGGCGAAAGATTACACAAGGGCCATTGATGCCCTGCGGCCCAAAGATGGGAGGCCTGACAAAGCACTGAAGGGCGACGCCATCCTTCAGGAGTGACAGCAAGTGATGGGGATTTGTGAGTAGAGTCGCATGCTTTCGCGCTGGTCGGATCATTGCGGTGACTCTTTGTGCTTGTACTAAACAACCCTTGAGGAAGGCGATGGTCTTGGAATGAACCCTTTGATTCTGAATTTCCGTGGGAATGTTCTCAGCCAACTGGGCAGATATGAGGAGGCAAGGGATCAGGGGCGTGCTTGGAAATACGTCATCAGTCGCAGCTTTGCGCAACATTCCATGTCTGAGGGCGAATCTCCCGACGACCAGCTCGACTTGCCGAGCCTGAAGCTTTACAGGGAAGCATGTTGCCCCGTCTGCAGGCAGTGGAGGACTATCGCGAAGCCACGCAAATCTTCAGCAACGATGGGGAAGCACGACTGGCTTCCTTTTCGCGAGCCAACGAGGCCAAACAGCAAACTCTGTTGAGGGCCTGTCGAGATGAGCAGTTGCGTTACCCTTGCTGGCACAAGTGTAGTCCGTGCACTCTTTGCGGGAGTGCAGAGTACAGGTCCCATCTCGTGTGTGCGGTTTGGCCCCAGCGCGACTGGTTCATGAGAGCAAGCTGTGAAGCAAGGATCGGGCAAATAAGTACATAGAGCACTTGGGCTTTTAGATCTTTTAGAGTGTGCCCGGCAGGACGACGCGTAAGTGCAATGGGCGCCTGAGTTTGCAAAGCTCGGGTAGGAGCCACAGAAGGACATGTGGCGCTGAGCGACGCCAACTACCGCAGCCTGTCCTTCGCCTTGTTGATCTTGGGCCTCCGCCTGGCCAGCGTCGCATTCGACACGGCAGTGTTGGCCCTGCCCAGAACGAAGTGCAGGCCATCGGCAAGCAATGCTTGCCAATTCTCTGGTTCCTGGCCACCGAGGATGTCAAGATAAAGAAAACGACGACCCAAGAAAACAACGACGCAAGACGAACCGACATGCTAGCGGCTAGCGCATCTAGCGCTCAACAAGCCCGCGCCAGGGCAAGATGCAGGCTTGCAAGCCGCGGAATCATGGAACATTCCACGGAGGATTGAAACTGTGGCATGAGTTTCGTAGCAGATGCGATGCCCTGAGGGATGTTCTCGATGCCCAGGCATGACTTGCTTGTTCTACATGCAAGTCACCACCACGAAGCGCTTCATGCTGGGCATCGAGAACATCCTTTACGGCATCGCTGCCATCTGCTACGAAGTGCGGGAGACCGGCGGCCCCAGAGTAAACGCACTCGGCCTGGGCATTCCCATTGCGCAGTAGGATCCTTCAAAGAGTGACGGGACGCCAAGGCCCTGGCCGAAGCGCTACTTGACACGTCCATCAAGAACTGGGGGGGGCCACGCCTTGAGCATCGACGGCTGCAAGGCGCTTCGGCAGCCTCAGCCCCGAAGCCCTCCGTATTCCTCCGTACACAGCTCGTGCCTTTTCCGTCTCGAGGAGCGGACGATGGCAGGAATCCGTCGCGGAAGTGGTACTGCTTGATACAGGAGCAAGAATGAAGCCAGCTACCCCGAGATGTGGCACGGTCCGCGTGGCATCTTTCCCGCGGCGATCACGTTGCTTCGCCGCTGGCCCGAGCGGCGAGCAGGTTAAGGCTCTGGAAGCCTTGGTGGGAGATCTAAACTTGGTCGGATCCATGAAGGGAGAGAAGGAGGAGAAGAAAGGAACAGCAACAGAACAACTTGCGAAGATGGTTCATGGCCAGTGGATGCCGAGCGGCATATGCCACCGAAGAGCAATTGGACGGCCTGTGGATGTCCACCAGAAGGGGGAGACCATCGGCAGCTTCCACAGAGAGGAGCTCAAGTCGTGGCGTTGGGATATCGTGATGTGTTCACACCATTCCAAGTGCAGGGGCAGCGTGGTGTTGGCAAAATCAGTTGTCCAGTGGAGGTGGTTGGCTTTGAGTTTTTGTGGTTCCATGTGCTAGTATGGGCATTGTATGGATGGGTGCTGCACTTCTGCGGGCAGTGTTGGTAGCCTTTTCTCAAATCCGGCTTGATGGCAGCCTGAGGGGAGTGACCCAGAGTCCTGATGCCGAAGATGTAGGGTGGCATTCGGCTTGAGGTCTTGCCTGCTCTGACTATCTTTCGAACGTGGTTTTCCGAGCTCATGAAACTGTGAACGCTTTGGTCCGATCTGGTCCGGACCTTCGAACAGTCTCCTCGCCTAGTCGAAAACCCCAAAACTCTAGACCTTGGCATCAGTTCAGTGAACCCTAGAGACCCTCTAGACCCTCTAGACCCTATAGACCCTATAGACCCTATAGACCCTATGCCTCTAAACCCTCGAAACCCACTGAACCCTGTAAACCCCTCCAAGCCCCCCCCTAACCTCGCAGGCCCTGGCTCTCTTTGGTGCTGGCCGGGACCGGGAGGCCGAGAAGGTGATGCAGATCGCCCCTTGGAGTGCAGAAGGTTTAGGGTTTAGGGTTTAGGGTTTAGGGTTTAGGGTTTAGGGTGGAACCCGGCTGCCGTGAACCGAGGCCTGCTGTAAAAGGGTTTAGGGTTTAGGGTTTAGGGTTGTGGTATTAAGGGGTATACGGAGGGACCCCTAGAAGGGACCCTTCATTCCCCTATAGAAACCCTACGTATACCTTATAGCCCCTGGATACCAAAGGCGCCCCTCAATACCCCCTTAAACAACCCCTAAGCCTTGTAAGGGTCCCTGCTTTAGTCCCTTGAGAGTAACAGCGGGTAGCAACAAGAGCTAACGGTAACAGTAGCAAGTGTCATAGCACATAATGAAGACATGAGTGGTATAAGTTGTAACGAGCAAACGCGTCCTAAACAGTGAATAAAGACACAGGCAGTAAATGGTAGATCGCTAGCAGTAGGAATGGTAACAGTATCTGCAATCGTAATCGCAACAGTGCATAGCAAGAGTCTAGTACTAGTAATCGCAAAAGTGAGAGAAATAGAAATTGCAATAGCAACGCAACAGGCACAGTACTAGTCTTACTCTTAAGAGTAGTTGTAAGCGTAGTAGCAATAGTAATTCTCGTAAGCACTGAAATAGTCCTACTACAAGTTGCTGCAATGATAGAAATAATGGAAGGAAGTAGGAAGCAGAAGAAGCAGAAACAGAAGTAGTAATGATGGGAATGCCAGAAGCCATGATTACAGAATGAATCGTCAAAATCATCGTAGTATTACCAACCATATCAAGGACAGAAATAATTGCAAAGCAGTAGCAAGAATAGTAGATGCAGTCGTAACAGTTCGAACAGTTATAGCAGTAGCAGCGGGAAGAATAGTGTTAAAAATCGCGACGGTATGGCTTCGGAAAATCGCGTAGTAGAATTACTCGAAATGACAAGAGCAACAAGTGTATTATAGTAGGCATGACAGCAGCTGTGTAAGTGTTAGTCGGACTAGTAGAAATGGTAACAAAAAGTGTAATAGTAGCAGCAGTCCTAGCAGCAGCAATATTGGCGGTGCTAGTAGCAGTGGTAGCCACGGTAATGAACAATGGTAGCAATCGCAAGAGGCATTGCAGAAAATGGGAAAAGAGCCAGAACATTTTACAAGAGCAATGTTGTTAGCTTTGCAACCGATCCTGCGAGAGATAACCGACCTTAGTTGCCTTCGTTCCTGCCGAGAAATGGGGCATCTTGAAGCAGGGAGGCGAGTTATAGAGCCGCCGCTGTAGGTGTTCGAACGAGTCAGTTCCTCTTTTGTTGCTGTCTCTTGAGTGGCTGGCAGGTCGTACGGAATGACCCGGGTGTTACAGATGCCCATGTTGCCCTGGCAGCCTCCTACTGGTCACAGCGGAAGATTGCAGAAGCCGAGTCTCAGTGGAAGTTCGCATGCGAGAACATTGACTCGGGCTGCCAATCATACAAGGCGCCTGGCGGTTTAGGATTTAGGGTTTAGGGTTGCAGCACCCACTGGAGTCCGGATGCAAAAAGGGTTTAGGGGTTTAGGGTTTAGGGTTTAGGGCAAGGGAGCTTGTCACGGCTAACGGCCATTCTACGTCCGGACCCATCTAACTCCCTCGCAGGATCTGAAGTGGGTGGCGGAATCCCGCCGCTGGCCACCATCGCTTGTGGCCTCTTTGAAAAACTTCCTCCAGGCTAAGACCAGCTGAGAGCGTGGGCGTGGGGAGACGGGGTGGAAACGCCTCGTTGGCTCGCATCCAGTGGGCTGTAAATTCTGCAGCTCGAGGATTGCCAAAGTGCAGTTCTGCCAGCAGAGTAGCGATCTTCTTGTGTATTGATGTCGCCGCTTCTCGCCTGTCGCGCCGCGAGTTGCCTGGGAATGTACGGGTCCTTTTGACTCCAGTGTGGTGGTAGTGGGGGTGCTAAGCTCGTGTTGCTTTCCTGGCAAACCATATTCCTGACTTCCGCAGACTGTTCGACTCCGTGTTGTGCGGTGTTGAGTGCCAGCCCTTCCAGTTCCATAGATTGTAAGGGTGAGGTGCCTCACCAAAGTGCATTCTCGAGGTTCGCACTACCATCAGCTTCGCTTGGCGGAAAAGCCTCGACCTCGGAATGTTAGACAAGGTGCTTGCAGGATCGGCTTCTGCATGCGCTTTTGGCTCATCTTGCTGCGGCCAGGCTTTGTCTTTCTTCGCGTGTTGCTGCGACTGCGTTCTGTTGTGTGGCTGGAGCATGGTGGAACATGTAGACTTCCAACTCTTTCCGCCCGTTCTCATGTTCCACTTGAGCCCAATGCCCTCCTGTTACACTCATTGACACTCCTTCAAGATTAAGAGTAAGGTAGTAACAATAGTAAGAAGAGCAATAGCTGTGATAGTCGTATAAACGCTGTGTCCTCGTGGGGCTCCGACTATTGCCATGGGCATTTGACCGCATTTGATAGCACCCGCAAGGGCTGCCGACCTCAAGCTTGAGGAGGAAGGCCAACACACCGTCTATGCTCCTTGGACTCTGGGACTTAGAGGCTGCCAGAATCCTGCAAAGAGCCATCAAAGAAGAAGCATGTGGCATAGAGTAATAGCATAGGGTATGTCATGATCTCGGGTGCGTGGGGTACCATACACTACAAGGCACGCAGGCTGTGAGAGAGGGATATGTGGTTTGGCGTGATGGGGTGTTGGACAAGCTCTGTCATGCTTACCCTGAAGTTGGCAGTTCAGCAGTTGGAACTTGCAGAACTCCACGAAGTGGCATGCCTGCCTACGCCTGCCTGATGGTCTGCTTGAATAATTCTCAGCAGCAGGACTGCCTTACACTGTGCGACCCGAGTAGGTCCCTTAACTAGAGACACCATTGCTTGGTAAGGTAGCGAACCTGGACTGGTTGAGTGCTCAGCTTCTCAGAAACGATGCGGTTCCCAAAGCGTGTTTCGATATGTTCTCGTATGGCCTCCAGTGCACCCTCCTCGCTTCTTTTATGTTAGGTCTGTCGATGAGCCTCAGCTCCGCCGAATCTTCAATGATGCCTTGGGCTCACAGTGCAATAGCCAAGATGCAAGAGTGCCAGATGGTAGTCACTGGTAGGCATCACCGAATGGAAAAGGGCTGCAGCTTCAGAAGTCTCAGAGTCTTCGGGCGCTGACCAAGTGACTGACGATTCGGTACCGATGTGTGACGCGCGACGCCCTTTTGCTCAAGCACAGTTTTGATCTGGTGCAGGCGTGTCTCCCGGGGCAGACCAGCAACTTCATATGCAGCTCAGCAACTTCACAGCAACACACATCAGTTCCAGCAAATGCTACTCAGCGAGTCCTGCATATTTTGAGGTCGCTGAGATACAGCCCCGTGCCGTTGCAAACGTCACTTGTAACCGCTCAGCTTGGTGCCAGAGGAGACACAGCTTGCATGCGTACAGTTGCCACCTGCCGCCATGGCCAAGATCATGCCGCTGCCTGCAAAAGGGCTGAGTCTGCGGTTGAAGATTTTATCGGACGAGTGTCTCTGCGTGCAAAGCGGTTCTACACTTTTTTTGCTGTCACCATTACAGCAGAGACCGGTCAGGGTTCAGAAAAGAACAGTGCCACGGCTAGTAATGCATGCGAGTAGAGCCTCTGTCTTCCGAAGCAGGTGTTTGGCTACACAGTGCAATGTTCTGGCTAATGGGCCCAACTGTGCAGCAAATACGTCACGAACTTCCTGGGCCATGTATAAGCTGGGGTATGAGCCTCAAATATACGGGAATGAGAAGATGCGGGGAGGGACTCTCTCAAGGCAGCAGTTTCGTCCATGGCGCTGAATTTTGTGAGGTTCTCATCTTGGGCGGCTTACCTGCCCCGATCTCTCGCAGAAACAGAGACGAACGAGGCTCTGCCTCCCCGTCAAAGATTTGTGGTGAAGGTGTTTCTGGGATCTCAGGTGGTGTCTGAAGTTCGATTGTGCGGGCAAAGGTACTCGGTATGCAAGGGGTTGGGGTCAGGCCGAGGCCCGTAGCAGACTGCAAGAACTATCAGCCGCATGTAAGCAAGCCTTTTTGACTTGCCATCCTTCGGGACACCCAGGGGTCTGCCACGCTCTCGGACTTCGTTGGCACGCAGGTCACAGGCAAAGTGGGACATGAAATGCTTTTAAGCTTCCAGTGGTCTTTAACTAAGTATGTCGACTCTTCCCTGGTGTGGCTGATGCGAGCAGCTTCCCGTGACAAACTTCGTCCAAAAAGGTGTTTTGACTCACAGCACCCCATCGAAGCTTGCCTCGCGTGGAGATCGTTGGGCGAGTTGCGCATGTCCTCAGAAGACATCAGCATCTTTTCATATCAATTAGACAACTCGAACTTTGTGTCGCTACGCGGCCCTCGGCCAAGGGCCCATGGTCAGGGGCAGCGAGGTCAGATAATGGAAAAAGTGTTTAGGATGAACCTCTTTGACTCTCGGGGACACTCCAGCCCTGTCAGGACCTCGTGACAGCAGGGACCGTTTAAGGGTCCCAAGAGACCATTCAGAGAAATGAAGGGTTTGTCTGGTATGGCTTGAGTAGCACGGAGCTTTCAGGTTTCCGTAAACCGACGGAGCAGGAATGGTTCGCGTTTGGACTCCCATACACGTCTGACCCTACAGGTTCGGCTTCCATCAGCACTTTTCAGGGGCGGGGCGGCGGCGGAGGTCCTATTTAGAGGTCATACAGGGGTTTCTAATCTGGTCGGCTAGAAATGACCCTGACTGCTCTCTGCCCCCCCCCCCCCCCAACGCGCCGTCCGCGCCCAGGGGGTCGTAGGGTGGAGTGCCAAATTGAGGCCCAGAAAGCGGAACAAAACAGACAACCATCTGGGGGGAGGATTAGCGGTCCCTGAAGGGCATGTATGGCAGCTGTCCCTGCGCCAGCGAGGAAGCCGAGCTGTGCAGGACTTTGGCTACTGATGCTTTTGGATGAAGCCTGTAGTACACAGGTATCTAGGCAAGGCATCACACCGAAGTAGATGAGTCAGCATGTGAAGATGCAACCCCAAACCAGATCTTGGAGCTGGAAGGAAGCGATAGAGCTGTGCGGCAGCGATGCGGAGCGTGAGGCGTGACTGCAGCGGAGTCTTGGGGGGTGGGGGTGGGGGGAGAATGATATCCTTTGGACAAGGTTTTAATCAAGGATCCAAAGATATCCTGCTTGCACAAGGCACAGGGCTTGGGCTTGTTTCATTTCCAGCCGCCATGTTTGCAGTGCCTGTGTCCAGGCCATCGCCAAAGAACTCTATGGACACATCTGGGAGGCCAGGGAATCTAAGTCAATTGGGGCCATCTGTGGGCCCGCCACTGCCCACTGAGCATCACGTCATTGCTCGTTCCTCGCAGCCCGATCAGTACCGGAAGCCGTGGTCACCTAACATGCAGATGTTGGTCCACAGTTCAGTTTGTTGTGCCAGGCCAGTTTGAACCTCCAAAATCCGACTGTGTCTATACGTGTCGACCGACAAGGTTCACAAACTAGCTCACATATTGAAGCAACCCCGTCCTGGCTCATGGCGACTTTCCGTGAGCCTGACGACTACGACGAGGATGCAGATGATGACGAGGATGATGACCGCATGCTGCTGGCAGACGAATCTTACAGAGGACCCCCTGACAGAGGCTTTGATGATTCCCAAGCGGGTGGAATCGCTCAATTCAAGGTGGGCACCAAGCTGTCAGGCACATCTGGACCCACGGACTTCGGATTTCTTCTCAGTGGCTCTGGAAACTCTGCAAGCGATGCTTCTTCCGGGCTCTTGAAGAGGTGTCGATCCAAAGGAGACCAGGAGATGGCAGATGCGAAGCGTCTGGCTCAGGGCCTGCAGCCGCCCCTGCCGCCCCTTCGGCCACAGCAGGTTCTTTGTGGCTTGGTGGCTGGAGAAGACCGTGGGCTCAATGCCATGGACCCGCCCATCGTCCGCACAGACCCCTACTTCTGGCTCCGTGATGATTCTCACGAGAATATGGAGGTACAACAGCTGTTGCAAGATGAAGACACATACTGCTCCAGAGCATTGTCTTCCCTGAAGCCTCTAAGTGACGAGCTTTACCGAGAGATGCGCCGCCACGAGAAGGAATCCTCTGTCGGAATCCCCTCGGTCCATGCAGGTGGCTATGCCTACTACACCAGGGGCTTCAGGGACGAGCTCTACGGTGCCCACTTCCGCGCCAAGTCCCGCGGCCCTGGAAAACCGGTTCCTGCAGACGTGGCGACTCTTGCGGCAGCCATCGGTCTGGAGCTCTTCGATGAGGAGCTTCTCCTGGATGAGAACGACCTCAACGATGATGGGAAAGGCAGCTCGCGACCATACCTGTCCGTATGTGGCCCAGATCCCAGCGCCGATCACGAGTTCATCGCATTCGCAGAGGACTTCGAGGGGAACGACAGTTACAGCATCCGGTTTCGCAACACAACGGTCGACATGGAGGAAAGTGATCTGAACGACGACGACGATGCCGAGTTGACGGAAACCGATGGTTCAATTCTCTGGGAGGCGACTGGCCATGCGGCCATATACTATGTTGGCCACGACAATGAATACAGAGGCTACGATGTCAGGCGCCATGTCATAGGAACTGCCCAGTCGTCGGACACCACGCTTTTTGAGGAGCGGGATCGACGGTTCTCAGTCGGTATCAGCAAAACAAGTGACGAGCGATTCCTCGTTGTTCAGTCAGCGTCGAGCGAAACGGCCGAATCATATCTGTTAAATTTGGAGGATGTCAGTGCCGGCTTAGTCTCTGTGTGCCCTCGGCAGTTTGGCATCCAATATGAGGTGGACCACAGGTCAGGCCTGCTGTACATATTGACAGACAAGGACGATGCAAAGAATTCAAAGCTGTGCTGCACACCACTGTCGTCCATCCCAGGGGACAGCAGCAACTGGCAAGACTTGTGGGTCCCGGATCCACATGTGCAGCTGGACTCCCTTCACTGCTTTGAAAACTTCTTGGCGCTGGAGGGCCGACAGAATGGTGCCAGCTGCGTTTTCGTAATGCTGCTACCTGATGCTGGGCTGGACATGGCACCTCATTTTCTCCCTAGTAACCGAACCTGTAGCGAACCGATGGCACGGGGCAAAAAAACATCTTACGCGCGGGATTCCGCAGCCCAACCCAGGACGGCGGTGTCAAGGGTCCGATTCATATGCTGCTTTTTCCAGAGATGGCTGCTACGAGTGCCTTGGACCGTGTTTGATTCATTTTGGTAAGCTGGTAAGCATCGTGGTTGCTTCACGAGCTGAAGAAGCTTGAGCAGAGTCTTGAAGCAGCGGATTGCGTGGGTCGTCAGGTGGGTACGTCAGCACTCCACGGACGCAGAAAGCCGTGCAGACGCTTTACTCGGTCAGCTTGGGCGGCAATGATTTGTTCAAGACTGACATCCTGCGTGTACATTACACCTCATACACCGTGCCTGGTCGTGATTATTCATACCATGTGCCGACTCGTGAGTTTAAGCTCATCAAGGAGTCAGGGCCAGAGCATTACAACCCATCATTGTACAGGGCAGAGAGGATCACATCTCAGGGCACGAAAGTGCCCATTTCCCTGGTCTACCGGGCAGACCTTCACCCGAAAGGGCTCCAGGGTGGGCCGTTTCCCACTATTCTCACGGGATATGGTGCATATGGAGCATGCCAAGATCCCGGGTTTGATTCAAACATCCTTTGCCTTTTGGACCGTGGCATGCTCTATGCGGTGGCCCACGTGAGAGGAGGGGGCGAGTTGGGCCGCAAATGGCGCGAGGACGGCCGGTACTTGAAGGTGAAGAACCGTTTCCACGACTTCATCGACGCGGCAGAGACCCTCATCGCCCTTGGAATCTCAGAAAAGTCCACCCTTGCTGCCTGGGGAGAGAGCAGTGGTGGACTGCTCGTGTCGGCGTCCATGAACCTCCGCCCAGAGCTGTTCAAGGCAGTTCTGCTTTACGTTCCCTTCGTGGATGCCATCAACACGATGATCGATCCCTCAATTCCGTTGACCTGTGGTGAGTGGGAGGAGCTAGGGAACCCTAACCAGCGCGAAGTGTTTTACTATATGCTGGAGTACAGCCCCTACGACAACATCCGCATGCAGGACTACCCGGCGGCGCTGGTGACAGCTTCGCAAAACGACACCATGGTGGGCTACTGGGAGCCCCTGAAGTACGTGAGCAAGCTGCGGCGCATGAAGACAGATTCTAATCCGGTGCTTCTGAAGGTCGACTTCCATGCCGGACACGGCGGTGCTTCAGACAAGGCCAAGTCCATGCGTGAGCAGGCTCAGCATTTTGCTTTTCTTATGGACCAGCTTGGGGTTGAAACAGGCTGATGGGGAGAGGGTTAGAAGGCTTAGGAGCTTAGCAAATGCCGCATGGGGGCCCCAAAGTCGGAATGACCATGCGATGCGCAGAATGCGCGTTCTATTTCGCCACTCTTGCGCCTGTTCACCGGGTGACACTGCCCGGCCAGCAAGGCGGCGAGAGTTCCAAATGGCTAATGGCTCCACTGCTGTACACTACACACGTGCAAGCTGACTGGGTTGCGCAGATCTTGCAGCATCTTGCAGTGGAAATTGAGCTTGGAGGTACCATGGGCGGAAAGCCCAGACATGAGTGCAGCGTGCCAGAATGCCGGTTAGTCAGCGAAACTCGCAGAAGCCTTGCTGTGACCGCTCGGAGGCTGTGCGTTGTCCGCACGCCAACTTCGTGGTGCAGCGCCTGATCGTTGCACTGCGGCCTGGTGCCTGCCAGCGACTTGACAAGCTCTTGGGGTCTTTGAACCGAGCCTCCAACTGAAGTCTAAAGGCACTTGTCGAAACACCCACTCCAAACCCAAGTATTTGGCAACTTTGAGCTGACACTGAAAGCAGCGAGACTTGAAGCATAGTTTGAGCCCGCCACGTGCCAGACAAACCCCCAACCTCTCCAAGAAATTCTGATTTCAGATGGGCATCGGCCTCGATGCCATGTGTGCCCACCTCAAAGTCCGAAGAGCCTCGCTATACCTTCGGCCGTCTGTACCTGCAGCCCCAAGCCCTTGTGTGCCCAGACTCAGAGCTGTGGAGTTTCCGGGTTTAGGGTCTAGGGTTTAGGGTTTAGGGTTTAGGCTACGGTGGAGGCGTGTGAGGTGGCCGTGGTCCCGATCTGAGGTTCATCATTGATGAAATACTTCGACCCGGTCCCAAGAGCATCTGCTACCTTGCAAGGCCTGGGCTTTGGGAATTGGGGACCGAATCTTTCGAGTTTTTGGAAAAATTTCTGGGGAGAAGGGGCTCCTGTCCGCAGCGGATGTAAAGACGTCCCAGAGAGACCACAGAGGCGCCGACAGAAGACCTCGCAGTTTCAGTGAGCTGCCAATGAGCTATGCATAGAAAAAACAGATGAAGACAGAGTGCAGAGAGAGTAGTAAGCAAGAGCACGTTCCCCAATGCATTCGCGCATGCCCGTTGTGCCGGAGAGGCACAAGTACGGATGCCGGACTCTCCAGCGGCTCCTGGAGCACTGCAGCCACTCGCAGACGGCCCCTCTGGCCGAGGCAAGCTCTTTGCAGATGCCCGAAGTTCCGCAAGACTCGCACTTGAAGCAGAAGGCAGCAACCGTCACTCCTCACCATGGGAGGAAATAGCTGCAAAGTGATTCGAAGGGTGGCGAGTGGGTTCGAGACGGTTCCATTCCTCATGGTTTCACATTCAGACGCGCAGCAGTCTTCAATTCCCGACCTCCAAAGACCACCCCAAAGAATTGCACAGCTCGTTTTTCGGCCATGCCATCTCCATCAAGTTTCCGGCCGCCCGATCGCCACCGAATACTGCGCACTACTGGTTTTCCTCCCACGGCCCAGGCCATGCTGGCAGAAGTCGTGCCGTTGCCACTTGGACAGCAGTTGAAGCGAGACATTCCGACACATGTACTCGGCACGCCAGTTCTGTCTTTTGCGTGGCACACTGGCACGCCGAAGCCGACCATGGATAAACACAGTAAACAGGCCGCGCGCTTTCAGGGGTGGCTGGCTCCCCATGCCGGCCTACACTTCTTGCAAGTTGGACAACACGGTATGATGCTTCACTTAAACCCTGAATCCTGGATCCATAAAAAAAGCGGATGGCAAGACAACGCCCTGCCTTAGGTCCAGGCACCCCTATGGGAACTATGTGCTGCAACAGCTGCTGGAGTGCCTAAGACTTGCAGTTAGTGCTCGGCTTCCGTGGGTTCGGAGGCTCAAAAGCCTCAAATCAAAGCTCCACAGACCTTCAGAAGACAGCTGGGGAGTAGCTGCAGCCCAAATCCACTGAAGAGAGGCCAAAACAGCATATAGTAGAGAATCCTGCAGATTCCAGCCATGCTGAGGCACGGCAGTGGCTCTCATCAGTCACTAGTCATCCATCGGCTTGTAAAGAGTGTGCCTTGGTTCAAATTCATCGCCGAATCCCTGCGACCGACTTTAGCTCAATTTTTCTGGTTGATTCGCCTTGAACGCGTGCTGCACGAGATTGAGCTAGGCACAAATTTGTGCTGCTCCAGAATGCTATGGACATGAGTGCGGCTGAATGCCACTCCAGCCTTACATGCGCTAGCGGTGCGGGTGTAGGAAGGATTGTATCAGCACACACGACTCCTTTCACAATATTGGAGCCAGGCGACAACATCTCTAGACGTACTGCGTTGTCCAGGTTGCACTCATTGGCTCGGACTCCAACGGTGTGGCAGTGCTTCTGAAGGCCTTGGCGAATGGATCTCGGGAGGACGGGCAGTGAACGCAGAGCGGTTGTCGAAAGTACTTCATTGGCTGGGAGGCTTCTTGGATTGTCTGCTCTTTTTCGCATCATGCTTGCAAGCCTGCAGGAGCGGGTGCAACTGGCTTTGGCCTTGAACATGGAACCAGGTCTCATCCTCTCCATCGCCAGGCTGGGAGACATGTGGGACTTGTGCTACTGTACTACTTGCGTGGACACTGGACAGGTGCCCTCAAGCGGACAAAATGATAGATAACGGTCAGAGAGAGTGTGCGTGCGTGCACGCGGGCGCGGGGCGGGGGGGGGGGGGGGGGGCGAGGGGTGCGGGGGCGTGGGGGGGGGGGGGGGGGGGCGAGTGCCCGTAAAGAAGTATTCTAGTATTGAGGTCAAGCTGAAGACATAGCTGGTCACAAGTAGCATTGCATCCTTGCTGTCTTAAGCAATTGTTAGCGGATGACATAGTTGAGGTTCGGGGTGGGTTCACAAGTAAGTGCGTGTATCTAAGTGTGTGCGTGCACGCGTGGGCGTGCGTGTCTGTGCGTCTGTTTGCGAACCGTGTTGGCATTCTTCTGTTTGACCTTTGTCATTTTGATGTTTATCTTGGGTTGAGACTGTAAGTTTGTAAACGTCTTTCTGACCCTTCACAGGTTGTAAGAAAAAGTCGGCCTCTTTGCAGACCCGACTACGCTAAATTTCAGTACAGAGCCAACAGCCCAGCCCAAGCCAAGCCGTGCTTTAAAACGTTTCCGCTTTGCTTCAAAGACCTTTCAATCCAGCAGCCCTGCGCACTGAGCGGCGGGGCCACCGCCCCTCCCCCGCGATAGCAAAGCTTAAAGGTCAAGAAATGTTGCATCAGCGCCCGGAAGTCCTGTAATTTAAAGTATTTGGAGCACGTGAGCCGGCCAAACACTGCAATTCGCAGCGTGTGGAACTCCCTTTGCCGTTCTATCAACATTCTTTACCTTGGGCACATCAAGCTTTTGAGCAGCATCATGTTGATCTTGGCCTGCTGTGTTCGACTGATACTGGGTGGTTGACGCAAGGCATCTCGCGCAGGCAAAAGGCGTCTCATTAGGGCGTCACACTGCAGTTTTCTAGTCTGGCGCAGTTATCTTCATGACACGTGGGCGTCTCGCCAGGGCGTCCCCTTGCAGTTTTCTGTTCCGGCACATTCCTTAATATTATATTGTGGTCGGGAACGGACACACTCACCCCTTTGTGTTTCGCTGTGTTGCGCAAGTAGTCTGGCAAGGCGTCACGTTGGGGTTTCAGGGTGCATGGTCGTCCGAAATCCTTTGGAATCGGTACTCTGCGCTAGGTCTCGCGTGTTTTTTGCTTGTTTGTTGCTACTGTATGTTGCAAAAAGTAGCCTGGCAAGGGCGTCTCCCTGGGGATTAGCTTTTTGTGGGTCGCCTTTTGCACGCATGGGTTGCCTTCTGCATTCAGGGGCGTCTACTTGGGGTGAGTCGCCTTTTGCCCGCGTGGGTCGCCTTAGGGCGGGCACGCAGTAGTTCAAGAATGAGTTGATGCGACCTTCTCATCCGTGTGGCGAAAGACGCTGAGCTGACCTCCTTAATTATTCTTGAAGTCAACGTCACGAATAAAACATCATAGAACCTCACGATGCTTGCAAGTATGGCGAGCCATCCAGGAGCCGCTATGGCCATGCTGTTGCGTCATGAGCTCAGCAATGCTTGCCCAGTCGTTGCCAAATCCGCCCTCCTTCATGCTCTCTTTCGGTAACTGCACGGATGGCGTTGGCACAGCTCGAAATTCGCTGGAAGAGTAGGGCACCCAAGGCAGCTCGTGGTCAACTACTTGCCGGAGCCGCAGAAAGCGGAGTTATGCCGAGAAGTGGCAGCACACTCGGAGGATGCTTGGGCCTAGTGGGCCTAGTGACATGGATGCTGCTTGCAGGGCTTGCAGGAGGTGAGCACTACATCCGTATCTTCCCCCCAACCCCCCTTTGCACAATTGGCCCCCAAACGAAGATCAGGTCGTCTTCCTACATTGTCCAGGCCTAGGCAGTGCCCGACGTAGGCATCAGGTCCCAAAAGAACCGACAAACGGAGCAAAAGCAAACTTGGGACTCTCAAGAGATCTGCAGCGTCACGGCGCAGGAGCTGCGCGCATCGCGCTATGGCAGACTGGTGCTGAACAATCTCGAACCCTGGCTCGGATCGGTCCCAAGATTCCCACAAAAATTCAGAAAAAGGGGTGTTGTTTCCAGGATACTGCCCAGGATAGCCTCCGCAGGTACGGTTTCAACCGACTCAGTGGTGACGGAGCATGTTCATTATTGCTCCCACTGAACCCGGGAAAGCAAGCTTGTCGAGTCTAGCAATTGTGGGCGCCGGGTTTTGAGACTTGTTCCACTACAGAGCACGCTGCGCAGACCGACGGGCAGTCTTCATAATTTTTTTTTGCTGCTTTCACAGGCTTAGGCCCAGGTCGTTGGAGGTCGTCGTGATGAACATGCGAGGGCCAACTGCAGCATGTATTACTGCTAGCCTTTCGTGTGATGCTGGAAGATGCCGGAAGTTGCTCGTCAGATAAGGGCCCGTGCTTGTCACACTTGTCGGCCAAGAAGATTCAGAAACTCCCAAACTGACAGATCCAGGAGTCACATGGCAGCCCGACCGACAACATCGACATGGCGCTGCAAAGTGACACTGACGACTGAGATTCTTCGCCAGCCTCTCGTCCAGATCGTCAGATGGCTCAAGTGCCAGTAGAAGAAGTGGGTGGAGCATTGCCAGGGGGGAATCACCGCAAGGAGCATACTGTAATGTCTGACATTCGGCTTAGGGGCCTCTACAGGCATGTGCTCTGGAAAGACCAGGACGTCCCATATTTTTCCCGTTTTCTTAAGGTGCCAACTGCTGGTGGTGCGATGTTAAGAATGACTTTTACATGTGTGCTGGGTATCCAAGGTCAGTGAACAATCCCTTTTTCTTTGCAATCCAACCGGGCAACCCCGTTGCCCCGGTGCCCCATATGGATCGCCGCGAACGCATCCCCATGAACCCTTTAATGAGCCCTAAAATCCACAGGCCTCCATCCATATGGCCCGAGCAAGCGTCTAAGGTGTGCAGATTTTTGTGAGATAGTTACGATGGTGGTTGGGATAATCTGCACACTTTATTTGGAATGCGCCTGTCGGTCAAGGCATCGCTCAAAAGAAGTGCATTCAGCCGCTGCATGCATGCTTTATTCAGAATTCGTCCTGGCCGGTCTGCTTCAAGTCCCCCTAAACCCCAAACCCTAAACCCAAAACCCTAAGCCCTCAACCTATGTGGGGGCTGGGAGTCATTGTGGGAGTTGAGGATGGGCTGAAGCAGGCATGCCAAGGCTTTGCAGGCCGTTGCAAGCACCTTAGGTGCTTCCAATGAGCAGTATAGTGGCCACTCTAGTTGCAGTGGCGTGCGCGCGCGCCTTTCATTTCAAAGCGCGGATTGATCAACAATTTTTCCAGTTTGCTTCGCACGCTACTGCTTCACGTCTTATTGACTTAGTGTGCCGCTCTCCGAGGAGGAGACGTCACTGCTTCCAGCTTGAGTTCAATGGACAGGCACATTTTGACGTCCCAAATGTCCCCCGTAGATCGAGCAAAGCTCTCCATGTCGACCGTGGAGTCCAGAAGGACCGACGCCATTACGTGGCAGCACCCCTTGTACGCAGATCTTCTCATCTCTTCTCTTATTTCGTGTGACAAACGTGTCAGAATGCTCTCTTTGACTGCTAGCGTGCCGGTGTATCCTTCGGATTTGCAAATTTGTACTCTTTTGGTGGTGGCCTCTTGCACAAGGGTGCTCATGTGGGCCGCCGGACATGGCTGTCAGAAGCTTTGCCAGCTTTTGCAAGCTTGCTTGCACCATTCCTGAGCAACCATGACGTCTTCGCGCATGGATGAAAAACGCTACGGGAAGATGGCATGAAACGCATGCGGAAGGTGATTTCTAGGCTCCGGCTGCTCTACTTCAAGCAGCACTATCGAGTCTAGACTCGGGTTGAGGTGCCATGTTTTCAAATGGCCGTAGCTGTGATCTGAACTGCGTCTGTGTCGACATGTGGCATGCTATAACAATCTAGAGCACTCAGCAGTGCTTGTCACAAAGGTGGATGGGTACCCCTGGCATGTCGAGACCGAAGGGTGACGTAATTGCCAGCTGGCGACACTAGCAAGTGCTGCGGCCCATCAGTGCTTGAGACTGCTTTAGAAGATGTGACGAGTCCCGCATAGCTTCAGACCAACAACTTGTGAACTAGCATGACTGGCATGACTGAGGGACATGGCGAGCCAGGCTCAAAGATGTGCGACTGGTCCGTGACTTCCTCAAGAGGTCCAAAGGCCCTGGCCGGATCATATATGATAGCTGTTACAGGGTAGTTGGGGGCCTGAATTGAACTGAGATGCCCGGCGCAATGTCATGTGAAGACGTCGTCAAATTGCCATGACCGCGGCTGATCATGACCGTGTCTTGGAAAGGCTACGCCTACATTGACTTCGACTCATCTGCGCACGTGGGTGAAGCCGTAGAGAAGTTCAATGGCTGTGGCCTCAAGAACACAGTCTAAGGTGCAATGGCAAACGCCGTCGACGATCACGCTGCGCAAAGTCGCTGCAAAACGGATAACTTTCAAAGGTCAGTGATCCAACCCCCTTGAGACTTTTACTCATTGAGCCCTGACTCCCCAGGATTGTCTGGTCATGCCTAGGTCACGAGGTCAACAAGCGCGTTGGGGGCTCAGTGTCCAGAGCACAAGACGGCAAGACGAAAGTTTCCCGTGCCAGGCAAGGAGGACAAGCAGAGATAAGAGATAAACAGATGTGAATCTGCACTGAAAAAGAAAAAGAGAGCCAATCTGTTGGCAGCCAGTTGCTGGGGGCTGTTCGACAGGCCATGAAGGTGGCGCGATCACTGCCCACAAAGAAACTTTTTGAGGCAGGGAGTTGCACGTTAAGCAGGTTGCAAGACCTAGACCCCCTTGACCAGTTTGGGAGTCAGGGTTTATGTGACAAGCCAGAGCTCTCGAGTCATGAAACATACATCAGTGGCCACGAAAGTAATGTCTTGGAAAAGACTTCGGGACTTTCGGGTCCAGATGTAGGAGGTCACCAGTTTGCCCAGGCAGAGGGGCGGATTTGTGGAACCCTTCCCACCTTCGCAAGGGGTTCGTGCAACCCACTCCAAGCCTGCGTCAAACAACTTGCAGCACACGTTAACACCCAAATGCAGCAGCAAAGTATCTGCAACCCTCCTCCTTTAAACAAGTAACTGCCAAACTACATGACAACAGTTGCATCCAAACCTGGACCACGCATGAAAATCAAAATGCACCAGCAGTGACTCTACAATGTAGATCCAGGTCCTTCTACAACACACTATCCCCACCCAGAGCCCGTTGAAGCACACATCTATTTTGTAGTTGATTTACAAAACAAATGACCTCTTACATGAATACTTGTTTCCTTCAGTTCATGAATGGAAGGTATATAGCAGCACCCTGAATTTTCCTGTTCCCCCAGGTTCAAGACAGTAAACAGCTCAACTGATTTGCTGAGCAAGTACTGTATTGAAAATATGTAGCTTATACGACCAGCTGGCAGTTTTTTTTTTGATCGTAGGTTTGTGCTACAAAGTAAAGCAATTTGTCAAATAACCAACTGGCCTTTTCTTTAGACAAAAAGTCACGGGTTAGAGCGGGAACTAGGCTCGGGGTTTTGAGGGTTTTTGTCTCGAACGAAGTTCGCTTGGCGCATGGGTTGTCCCCGTAGCTGTCCTTATTTTCTGCTAATGTTTTCGGCGATGTTATTCTTATGATTTTTTACCTTCGGAATATCATTTCCTTATTTTTCACTTGGGGAACCAGTTTTCTGCTGGAAATGCATAGGTTCATGAGTCTACTTCGCGTTTTGGCTCCCACTCCAGACATGTATACACTTTAAACAGGAAATACGCGAAATATTGGATTGGGGAGAAGCGAGTAGAATCAAGAGTCTGCTGTAGTTCAACTAAACATTGGCCTCAATGCTTGCCTACTCCACTGAGCCACAACCTATTCAGTTAGGACCATGCCACGAAATTTATATTGAATGACTGATTCGCTATCATAGTTTACTCGTACTTTTCCCCCCCCCCTCACCCCCCTCCAAATTACATAGCTGTACAACCGTAAGTGGATTAAAACTTATATAATTAGGGGTTGATTGCGCGGAAGCATGTCTTACATGTCACCCCACCCCAGATAGATCTTAGACTCAAGATCGCCGATAAATGGGAGCTTTTCAAGCCTAAGAACCCAAGATCCCAGATCTTGTTTAGGCCCAAGAACCCAAGATCCAAGATGTCGAGCCTAATAGTCCAATTCTTTTTTACGCAAGGGATAAGGACACGGTCGATCTGCTGGTCGCATAGGTGGCGACCGTTTGTTTTGTATATTTTTGTATGTCTGTACACATACTCCCCCATTCCCTCCCCACCTTTGGGGCATGCGGATCAAAAACAAATTTTGTTCGGATCAGACAAAAACAATTATTCTGTTCTTCCGACGGAGAGAGGGAGGGGGAGGGAGGGAGGGAGAGAAGGAGCGAGGGAGGAAGGAAGGAAGAAAGGAAGGAAGGGCGGAAGGACGGAAGGAAGGAAGGAAGGAAGGAAGGAAGCAAGGAAGCAAGGAAGCAAGGAAGCAATGAAGCAAGGAAGGAAGGAAGGAAGGAAGGAAGGAAGGAAGAAATCAAGAAAGAAAGAAATGAAAGGAAACAAGTAACAAAAGAAAGACAGTAAGGAAAAAGTTGTGCCAGCTTGCTTCACAGCATACGTGCCTTTTCGAAACCCATGATGCGAGCATTGTGTTTGCTATGGGGGGGGGGGGGGCTGCCCCCCCCCCCCCCCCCCCCTCCCGCTTGTTTAAAGTCGTTTCCAGCTTGCTTCAAAGCATACACATCTTTTCGACACCTCTGATGCGAGCATTGTTGTGTCTGGAAGCCTTCAGTAAATTGTTTTTTGATACCAAATAAGTTCTTGTTTTTGATCCGCCTATACATAAATTATTTTAAATCCCAAATATTTTATTATCCCCTACACCCCCTTTGGTGGCCCCACATCTGGCGTCCCCCTGGGCTTTGCTGAGCATTTTGCAGTAGTTAGTCCGTTTGCCTCGAAGCACAAGTTGCTGGCGTTTCATCCTTGCAGAAGAGGCAATTGGCAGAGGAGTTGCCAATAACAGCGATTTCGGGCGTTCCATGAGATGTTCTGAATTGGGCGTGGTGGGGGAATCTGCCAGGAGAAGGTCCTTTTTGTCAAGAACATCGGTGCAAGCCTCACAAGTGGTTGCTGGAGCCCAGTTGGTTCTGACAATGTGAGATCTTGACGAGGGCGGCAATCCCAAATCAAGCACATGTCTCGAGATTGGCGAGGTGCTAGTGCCAGCGAGGATGATGTCAGGAAGGCCTTCGAGTCACAAGGGGAGGCCCGGAGCTTGAAAAGCAAGAGCTAGTAGGCACATGTCATGGCCCATTGTAGTTCAAGCAGCTGCTACAGGTTGCGAGCGTGCGAATGCCAGGAGGCAGCAGCCAGGACCTCCAGAGCAAGAGCACTTAGTGACAATGCCTTGAAAGTTTGTTGAAGCAAGAGTGGCCGAAGCCAAGATTGAAACGGAGGGGCCGCAAGTAATGTCGGCTGTGTGAAGTTGTCACATACGATGCTTCAGAGGACGAGGAAAACCATTGTCAGGGGACAACATTTTCACTTTTCGCAAGCCCATGCCCACTATCCACAATGCCGTTGAAGTGACCCGGACGGGCTTGCACGAGGTGTTGATGAACAACTTCGTTTTTGGGTTTAAACGGGCTTGGAGTTTCCCGTACGGTTTAGCAACAACCAGATCCAGCGTAGTACTTACTTTTCATCCTACGATATATAGCCGAGCATGCTTAGTACCTTCGGTTGTTTGTTCAAGAGCATAGAACAGCTGCACAGTCTTGGTGGCAAAAAAAGAGCATAGAACAGACAGCAAGCAACCTTATTCTTGTCGACGCGTGACCTTGTTTCACTGCTGCTGTGAAGGAAGGAAAGTGGCACAAAGGCATGCCTGAAGCCACTGCTTTGCTGCATCAGGGTGTTGTCTTGATCGTTAAAATAGAGTGTTCTTAAGGGGGGTTCAAGGGGCGTAGGTTCCCGAATACACCCCACTACTCCTCAGGGCTCCCTAAGCCCTGAGCTTCCCTAGGTACACACCCCGCATTATACCCCCTCCCTGAAGGACCCCCTAGCTAAATGACCTTATTGATGGGCTGCAGACACGTGGGACATGCCTGAGTCGTTTCTTCAGCCATTTCGCTTCCATGCCTGCAGTGTTCTTTTGATCGGCCCGCTCTCAGATGTGCGCAGGTCACGCCTATGTGGAGTTTGTTTCCGATGAGTCCGTGAAGGCGCCTGTTGCAGTGATGCAAACCGGGGCACCTTCGAATTGCACCCTGGTACTTGTGAAAACAGTGAGAATCTGCTGGCCTAGCTCCTTCAGTGCATGTTGTTATGCTCCATGTGGAGGCGGCGTTGAGTTGCGACAAGCCAGTGGAGTTAGGTGGCCAGGTTGTGCCCTCAGGTTCGATGCCTGCGCAGAAGACCTACAGACGATGCAGGTGCACGAACGAACGCACGCAGTCACATAGAGGCGCGCCCAGGCACAGAAACCCACACGTAGACTCCCATCGACACACATCGACTCGCACCGATGCAAAGGGATCAGGGCAGTGCTCGTACGTGGAATGCAACGGCTTAGCTACGGAGTTTGCAATCAGCGGACCTGCACATCTGGCAACGAATCTGCGAGTGCGACCAGTTCAGAATGCTGTACCACCAAGCACGATTACCTGATGCCTAAATATCAGACACTTCACACTACATCACGGAAACATCTGCGCTTTGGAGAGCCTTTGTCTGTGGTGCGCCCCCAGCAGACATGCATATAAGGAAATAAGGCGTCAGGTTTTAGGACATGTTCACGCATCCGCACACACACACACACACACACGCACACACATACATGCACACATACATACTCATACAGAGGCATACAGAGACATGTAGACACAGATGTATACCCCCCACGTCCCGAAAGCTGGCATCCCGGATCTGAAGCTGAGCTGCACCTTCTGAGGTAGTGGTGTTGTCCCGGTCCATCCCCATGAAGGACTCGTGCAGTCTTCTGTTTGCACAGTCTGAAGCGTGTCGCAAGACCAAGTTCATGCTTCCCTTGTGCTTCGCAGTAGAAACATTATGTGACTTCGACTTGACTTCGTGTGAAGGACCACCGTCACACCACAGCTGCAACAAGGAAAGATCTGCCTCAGCGGGTAAACCAGCGAAACATTGTCCAAGGCCTCTTTGCCGTTCTAAGAACTTCGTAGCTTGTTGCGCATGAGTTGTCAGATTCGACCACACACCCGTCATGCGAAGTATCAACCTCAACCTGGAGGCAGAATAGAACGAGAGGACCCGGTCAAGCAATCTGCAAAGTGCCTGGCGCTCTGCATCAGGGTGTGGTAGGGGTCGAAAGCTTCAGTCAGTCAGTCAGTCACATGCCTCCCCATGCGCGAACACCCAAAGTGCTCGGATAACGTGAGATTGTGGGATTCACTGCAGTGCCCTTTCTACAGCTCTGCTTGGCCGAGACCCCACCACGGTTCATGTGAACAACCTGGCCTTCAGTGCAGGGGTCCCGGAATAGCGTTTGCGCATGGTTTACGGGGCGTTGTTTGGTTGTTTTTGGGCGGACAACGGTCAGCGAAAAGAGGCACTCCAGGTAGTGTCAGTCGGCTGGAAGCCTGTGGATGTGTTTGTGGTTCATAGGCGTATCAGTGGCGTAGCTCTGATGCCTGAAGTTCAAAGGCAAAGTCTCAAACAAGATTGTGTGGTTTCCGGTCCGGACCAGCGGTGTGTAAGAATGATGTCGCTCCCTGCTTTAGGATCCAGCTACGGCTTCCGTTCAACCGATTGTCGGGCCGTCCATGCGCCAACATACCGTATGGTCCCTGATACAACTTTCGCGACTTGGGTTTGGCTGGTTCGATGTAGGTCGTGTCGTGCGAATCCTGATAAGGGCAAGCATCCCAGCAATCAGTCCTGTAGCGAAGTGTTTTTGCCTGTTTTTGCCTGTTTTTGCCTGTTTTTGCCTGTGCTTTGAAGTGCGGCCGTGCCTATTAGGTCCTGTATGCCTTATCAGAGCTCCCGGTTCCGGCCGCTACAAAAAAGTCCAACCCTCACTTCTTGTCCTTAAGCCCTGAACCCTGAACCCCATGTGAGGTGGATGAACAGCAGCTCTCAGAGCACTTCCAGCAATGCGGGCCAGTCTCGCAGGCCCCCTTCGGTCCCTCCTCAGTAGGATTGCTTTGCCAATGAAGGACTTGGGTAGTTGGGCTAGGATCGAGGGCAGGAGACTCATGACTCAGAGAGCTGGAGTAGAAGGTGCGGCGGAGGAATATCGATGGCATGGCCATTGCTCGCAGCTGTCTAGTTGGGCCCGGCCGTGCGCCTCTCCCTCGCCGCACATGGCCTAGCGGCGGCATGCACCTCTCAGGCAGGATGCGCTGGAAGTCGGAATGCGTTCCTTGTTCAGCTTGATGCTGTGTAAGCCTATACATGGGTTTCTCGCACAGTCGTCGCACTGCTCATGAAAGCCAGAATCAGAATCATGGATCCAGATTCGGGACATGCCTCGGGTTCCTTCAATCCTGTCCTGCAGGTGCAGCATGTACTCGAATGCGCTTTCCGGCGTGCAGGGACTGCTACCGCCAGACACCGATTGGGTCTATGCTAAGAAGCTCCTTGTCTGAATGACTTGCAGTGCTTAAGAACTCTTGAGTGCTTCTGAGGGCTTTTGAGGGCATCATTAGCTTCCCTGCGCTTGCACTAGCAGAGGCGAGAGGCACAGGAGATCATCCCTGGACTTTGGCTGGGGCCCTTTGGTTCCGCTCGAGATCAGGATGGGCTCTCTGAGCACAGGGATGACAGGCATAGCCCTGCCTTGTTTGCTGGTGTTCCGCATGGCAATTGCAGGAGTTCCTGAAGCGGGTGGGCATAACAGATGCCTTGGTCGTCCGAGCACCGGAGGAAGCAAGACGCATCGCTGCACTGGAGCGCTGTGCCTCTACTCGGCTTGAACTGCTGATGTTGCCGTGTTTTGTCCGAAGTTACGCTTCATGTGCAACGTCCGAACTCCAACTGGTCGGCTGATCATCAAGACTTGAACGGCCGGCTGAGTTCGCTAAGAGTTCTGTGCCCAATAAAGAGTTCTGGGACACCGCATGAACTATCTTTGCCCGCTGCAGCCGAGGAATCATCTGTCCAAAATACCCGGAGTTCATCCGCTACGAGGTGCGCGTCGACTTTTTGTGCATGCAGTTGAAACAAAGAGTGCATTCGTCGTGCCCTGGTGGGAATGAAGCTTTTTTTGCGGTGTCGGGGTTGATCTCTCAAGCTCACGTTCGATCCATGCACAAGCCTCCAGAGAGTAAGCCCTCCCCCCCATCGTAAAAGAGGAAGGGGGTTCGCGGTCAATACTGACTCGTACTCCTGCACCAGTGTCAATCATCGATTGGGAGCTAAACGTCTTCCGGCATCCACGAAGTCCTGTGCCGCGCTTAAACCCCAAACGCAGGTGCTGGAGTGCCGCGGCCCAGATGCAATATGATTATGCAGCCATGAGTTCCGCATTGGCATAGACGCCGCAATCAACGGCAACCTCGGTGGCTTCTTACATCTTCTAACATCTTCCAACAGAACTTGAGCCGTCCCCTGAAATGGCCTAAGGCGACAGCCCTTTCGAGAACATCATTCGTTTCTTCGCTGACGTCAAGTTGCTTCTAGACTCTTGAGCCTGCAGTGAAGATCAGTCGAGCAATCCGCGGCGTCAATTGTCTGTAGCCTTTTTCTTTCTGACATCTGCTGAGGATGGAGTCTTGGCAAGGGGAGGGCGAATTCTAGTTCATGGAAATGCAGGCTGCCCGTCAAGCTGCAACAGGCTGTCAGACATCCCCTAAACGCGCTGCCACGTATGTGTGATTCTCTCGATCTTGGGAGGCATGTCTCGGTCTGCTGCTCTGGTAGTGGCGTCTCTTGCCTGCGACACAGGCATGCAGCCGGAGGAAATCACGAAAGCTAGCCTCTGAGGGCTAGCGGAGTATCTTACTTAAGCGAAGCTTACAACCTGAAGGGTATACATGGCCCCCGGAGGCTCCGCCACGAAACGCAGCAAACCCGGTCGATTTCCGGTGGCGAAACACAGGTTTTGGGGAAACGGGCTGGCGTTCATTTCTTTCGTATATTGGGTGCAAATGAACGCCGTTTTCTGTGGATCCCAGGCCACAAAAAGCCCCCCAAGAAAAGACTCAGAAGCCTTGATGTTGACTTGAGTCCGGCGTCCCTCAAAGCTGGATTGCACAGACTTCGCCTGGTGAGTGCAACATCTGTTGTGGTGTCATGCGCTTCAAAAAAGAGCCCTCCGGAAGATGCTAACAGAAAAGCCCCCCAAGAAAAGACTCAGAAGCCTTGATGTGTGAAAAGGCCTGCTGCCTTTGCGTGTGCTTGTCCTGCTGCGTAGTTGATGCCATGTTGACGGAAGCTCTTCCGTGGGAGTACCTTAACTAGCTTTCGTCCCAGGCCCTCACCCCCAAGTCGATGATTCTTGTTGTTTGAAGCATTGATCTCTTTGACTGACCCTGCGTCGTAATCCGCATACCTGGACGGATCAACAAGCGTGAGGTGTTACTGTAACCTCTCCGGGACGAATCAAGCTTCTTTCCTTTTCCTGCCCCCTCCAGTAATTAAGCTTGAAGCTTGAGTGCCACGCGTGTTGCGCGGCACTGCACCATGAAGTTGTCAGGTGCTTGAAGCTCTGTTTCCGAGACATCAACAATCGCTCAACTCGGAAGTGAGGTATGTGATGGAGAAGTTCAACCTCCCATCCGACCAGGTGCCAGTAGCGGGGCTGACATGCAACAGGTGCAGGTAAGTGAGTCAGGGGCGCACGCCTCTTCAGGCTCAGATTTGTGGTTTCCTTTGATGAAAACTGCTTGACAGCCGTGATGCAAAAGCGACAACGAACAGCTCGGTCATGTATTAATGAAGGCTCCCGGGCCTGAGCCTGAGAGCGGAGGTGCTTGCCGTGCATGCCCTGAACAGGCACACACTTATGTGCTCACACGGCGCCACTGCATCTCCATCAACGAGGGCTTCCGGAACCAGATCCGGCGGCTGGGCGGGAAAGCGCCCACTCAGGGGCTTCATGCGGAGGCTAGTCCAGTAGGAGGACCCAACGAGGAGGCGATGTGAGGTCTACACGTGGACAGCACGGAGTGATCTTGTGAAGCGCGGATGCATCGTTTCTAGTCGGACCGTTGTGAATTGGATTGGGCTGCTAGAGTCTAGACAGGCCATGTTTCATCGTTGAGAGATAGAAGTGAGCGGCTAAGGGAGTACGAGATGCTTCACAGGGCCTGGCGCTCGAAGGCTTAAACTTGAAGCTCTTTGAAAGTTCAGTCGTGCTTCGAGTATCATTTTTCGAGTTGCGCAGCTTTAGCATGCCTTCATCAGGTGAAACGTAGTTGCGGTGCTGAGGTTCAGCTCCAAGTCAACAGCGGAATGCTGCAGGCCTGAGACTCCACGAGCAATCTGTGTGTGCAGAAACTCACCGGTATAGCATCTTGAGCAGGAGTGTGCGTTTGTTGCATGCATGTGGGATCGGCCGTTAAGGGCTCGGCTTGCTGCAGCGCATGCATGATAGGATCCTCCAACCGCTATTTGTCGACATTTGATGAGCTACTGCGGCCATGCTTCTCCACGACCTTCTATGTGATTGTAGGACCAAAGAGCTGCAATGACCGTTTTGGGAAGCCCTGAGGCATTCCAGACTCAACCGCATGGCCAGAAGAGGCACGCCTCGAAATATGCGCCATGACCTGTCCAAGTCCATCCTGACATGTCTCTCTCAACGACCACACCCATCAGCTATGATGGCTCTCACGATCTCTCATACCATGGCATCCGAGCCTCATGAATCATGAATGGCGGTCCAATACCTGGAGTTTTAGGGCTGTTTGTCGCGCCAGGGGCCTGGAGATGATGGACACCTCAGAGGGCCCTCCACAAGAGAACCCAATGCAGTGACCTCTCCGCTTTCGATTGCGTGGGCCGTGTTCAGAGAGGTGAGGTGTGCAGAGTCCAGAAAGTTCTTCCAATCTAGTTCCCCGTAATCTTTCTCTGCCGCTAACTCATCTTTCCGGTTCCCGTTGAGTCCACGACTGGGGCCCTTGACCTGTGGTGACCGGTGGCCGTCACGCTGTGAGGCGATGACGGTGCGTAACATACCATTTCGTAGAGGCACACCCTGGGACTCGCTCAGCAAGAGGGCCGCTTTGGTCGCACCAGCTTGGTATTCATGATTTGGGGGCTTCCGAAAATTCTAATTTGGGGTATAAAAGGGGTACTCCTATTTTGGGAAATGCCCATTTACGACGGAACTTTCTGGCGAGCTTGTCTGGCGAATCCTGGGCAGTGCTTACCGTACACTCATGCCACAGCAGCGTCCACAGCCTTGCAGGAGTGGACCCTGCGTTGCTAGTTTCACTTTACAGGTGATATGTCCGGCGTAGTCCCGGCGTAACGTGAGCCTTGTAATCTTCCGGTGTCTTAAAGTAGAAAACATGCCGTGGATAGGTGCAAAATACTAGTCGGTGTCAACGCAAAAACCGGCATTAGTGGGTAGCTCATGCCCTCCACATGGCTACAGCTACCTGGCACGCTCGCACGCACAAATCGTGCAAGCCATGATTTGCTCCTGTGCGGCCTCGACTGGGCAGATGGGATGGCGCATACTGCGAACCTCCCTGCCGTCAGTGATGGCGGCTGCAGGAAAGGGCCAGTGAGGCCAGGTAGACGCCACTCACAACAAGGTGCGTTGGTATGCGTAGGTATGCGTAGGTGCTGAGTCAACTCCGTCTCACCGGGTACTAGGTCTGCCCCGTAGACGTCTCGCGACGGCCCATAGCGTTGACGCCTGGCAGGCAAGTCGTCAGTCCTCTCAAGTGCTGACAGAGCCAAACCAAATGGTGCTTGGTGCATTCTACAGATTCGCTCGGAGTGTTCAATGTGTTCAATCGAATTGAGTGGCGCGGCCGGCGTCAACATCGCAGTACTGCAGGAAGATACATCCTCATCTCAGTGCCACATGCTGCGGTCAGAAATCGAGCGGCACAACGCAAGTCACCTTTGCAGGTTGGCTGCGCAGCAGTCCAAGGTGTAGACTGACTTGCATGCAGATGCCAGGTCCTCATTGTGCGCAAAGAGGACGGCAGATCTCGAGGCTTTGGCTTCGTTGAATTTCACGAGGACTCCCCCTCCCCCGCCCCCCCCCCCCCCCCCCGCCCCCGACTCCGTGCCCCCCCCCCCCCCCCCCCCCCCCCCCCCCCACCTGACGAAACCATGGACAGGAGGTGCTTGGTGTTTAAATTGGCCGATTTAAGTAGCCCAGTCTATTTGCGGGGCCAGCAGTTCGGTCACAACAGTCACATCACTTAACTCCGTCTACGCCAGGAATCTGATGCGCAAACCGCTCTGATGCCAGGGCCTGATTTGTTTTGCTGGGCGGCGCACAAAAGAAAAAGTGCCTGTTTCACAATGCCGTCTTACTTCTCTGACTCCTTTGGGCAGGATTGTCCCGCGCCGTCAGGTTTTCGGACAGCCTCCTCGGCGGACGGGAGCTGGTCGTATCGAAAAGCACTCGGGTGCGCCTTCTGGACGGTTGCGTAATCGCTGTCTTAACCTAGGACTTTGTGTGGTCACTTTTTGTTGTTTTTGCCAAGTTTCGTTTAAACATGCTTAAACATAAGTCCTGGGTAAGATGTGCAGAGGCGATAAGTCAAAAGAAGAAGACCAAGGCCTGGCTGGCTGTGCGATTCATCATGGCTGGTAGAGTTCAGGGTTTGCACCAGATTCTCACACTTGGCTACTAATTGCTTAAGAACCCCAAAAAGATCAATAAACAAATCTTCCTTATTAAGGGGAATATAGGGATTACTATTTTCCTTTTTGGGGGGTTCTTAAGCAAATAGTAGTTGGTCCGTGCAGGACGCACCTGAAGACAAAGGAGCCGGCAAAGGGTGCGCGGCCTGCTTCTAGGATTGCCGTCCCACTGCTTGCTAAGTGATCGTGTGAGGTCCAAAGGCAAGGAGAAGATTTCGGAGAAGGGCAAAAGCAAAGGCTTCCTTTGATTCATGTAGCTTCTGGCGCAAAGAGGACAAAGAGGAAGTGGGACAGGATGTACAGCTTTCGTGCGCATGTGACAACATTTGACATGGATGTTGCAGCCAAGTCCGGTTACTTCTGCGTAGGAGGACGGTCGGCATGCCACACCCTGCGATGTGCTGCGAGGTGGTGAAGAGAAGAAGGGTGGCAAAGGCAAAGGAGGCTGCAGCATATCGTCCGTTGAGCCCCATCGAAGCTGAGCACGTGGTTCTCCGGTCGATATTCGGAATCTC